CGTGTTCTCTTGGTAGATGACGCAGCTCTCTGAAGACTCACCCCCCCCCCCCCCCCCCCCGCCCCCGGCGTTTCCCGCCTTCTCCCCCCCCCCCCCCCCCCCCCCCCCCCAACCTCTGTGTAACTCTTTCATGCTGGAAGTGGACTTGGGTATTGAGGGATTTCATTAGTCATTCCGCCCCAAAAGGAGAAATCACTTAAAAAAACATATCAAGAGTCTTGGTTTTACAAAGCGTACATACCATGTCAGCATATGCTCCTACTGCTAATTTCACATTAAAGTTTCATATTTCTGTTGCTTTATTCTGCCTTTATCTTACACGGAAAAGTATCTTGGTTTAATTTTAGTCTGATTGTAATGAGTCTAACTGCAAAATACAGATTCTTTGCAACAATGCAGTGCATGGTGGGCATTTGCTAGCTTTTACTATCAAGTGCAATTCATACAATGGACAATAGCACAAGCTTCCGGTCACAGGAGACTTAGACTTGCTGTCAATTTAGAATGAAATAGCAGCATCATCTTAAAGTCATTTTTTTTCCCCAAAAATGGGAGTTTTTTTTTTTCTTTCGATATAGACTTTCAAAATGGGCATTTTGAAACAAAGCACTGTAGATGTGGGAGATCTGAAATAGAAACAAATACTTGGAGAACCTCAGGAGTGAAACAAAGTTGACATTGTGTTCAATTTGACACCTCTGCAGAGTTTTAAGGCTTTCAATGAAGTCATATCAGACTCAAGCAATTGAGTCTTTTTCACCACACACACATATCCACCTTAACTAATCCTGATCTAAATCATGATGACATTTGCAAAGTTTTGGGCCATTTTGATCAATTATTGAAGGAGAAATAGATGAGACTGAAGCTCTAGAATGGGAGTACTGTTAAAATTTTAATTCTTCATAGTACAATACTCTCTTTACTCACCACCAGGCCGCTCATGTGCGCCATCAGTATGGAGAAGCATAGCAATGGGCATTCCAACATTTTTTGACCGTCCAGCTACGACAACATTCTTCCCAAGAGTTGGGATTCCTGGATGGAAAAACAGCATCCTGTTTATTCAGGAGAACTGACATAACTTTTATTCTTAAATATTGACCACACATTTGTCAAAGTAGAATATAGCATTTTGCTCTGGCTGCAACCCGATTAGGGGAGGCGATCACCTAGCAGCATTATTGCTGAACTGTTAGCCAAAAGACCCAGTGGCATTTGAATGCAATAAAAACCTGCAATTAAGAGTCTAATTGTAACCATGAAACTATAGTTGATTATCAGAAAAACCCATCTGGCTCTCAAAATGTCCTGGAGGGAGGTAAACTGCCATCCTTACCTGGTCTAGACTACATGTGACTCCAGACCCATAGCAAAGTGTTGATTCTTAACTGCCTTCTGGGATGGCCAATAAATGCTGGTCTAGCCAGCGATGCCCTCATTCAATTAATGAAGGAATTAAAAAAAATGTCCATGTAACTACCAACTTTAAAAACTGTATTCATCTTTCCAGAATACTAACTCTGCCTTCCACCTTTATAGAAAAAAGTGTCCTAGCTGTAGCTGGTGTTCCAAGCAGACTAGAAAACTGTTGATGGTTTGCTGAATTAACAAAATTATCTGTCTACCCTCCTACCCTCAACCCATCTAAAATTCTGGTTTCCTGGTCCTATTAAGTACATCTTACAGGCTCCCTAAATTGTACATATTTGATCTTCGTGTTAACACCATGATCAAGTTTTTTGTGAGAGGACAAGAGAATTTATGTTCTGTCACACAAGAAAAGGGAACACTGTTCTATTCGAGTGTTGCCACTAAACAGAGCTCTTGGTTTATCCCTGTATTTGAAAATAGCAATCAACCTCAAAACTGCACTATATGTTCAGTCTATTTTAACTAAAAAGAAATGTTTAGGAATGTAAAACATTAGAACAAACTTGAAACGTTTGAGGTAACAAGTAATGTATAAATGGGTTTATACAAACCTACTCAAGTGTTTGTTATGAAGCATGTCAATAATATTTTAAAATTACCTGTTCTTTGGATTATTTCCCATACTCCCCAAGGTGTAGCAGGCAGCATGGACTTCTGATCAAGACACATGCGACCTACATTGATCACATGAAATCCATCCACATCCTTCGTAGGGGACACTGCATTACAGATCTTGCGTTCATCGAGGTGTTCTAAGAAAATGATTCAACATTTGAAGTCAAAGACTAAAGTCAAAGAGCCTGTGTACATCACTGTATTTTTTATATAAAAAACATTCCAACTGGACTATAATGCTAAGCATGTTCCAACTTATTAAGCACAAAGCTCAGGCATGTTATTCTAAACATTTCAACCAGTGTTTCCAAGACTGCTGGGTTTTTAAAAGGGAACACCAAAAGGTGGCGGCAGAAAGTAAATGGAAAGATATGCTGATGGTTGAAATGAAAAATTGAAAAAAAAAATTGCATCGAGGCTGAACACAGCAGAGACCCATTGGGTCCAAATGGTCTGTTACCATGCTGTAATGCAACACAATTTTAATACTTGCAGACTACTCTCATAGCAGAACAAAACAGCGATTTGATCACAGGTTTTAGGAGAAAAACTGAAGCACAATACTCCAATACAAAAGGTGGTTTTATTGTATTTTACACTTCAGCAGAAGGGAGAATGCTGTTCTGAATAACTGGCTGACATTCAAATAATAGCATACTAATAAATAAGACAGTGGAGTACCAATCCTCAAATGCTACGAGGCACAGTAAATAAGAAATAAAAAGAGGTAGCAGTTCTTCTGTTCCAGGTCTTATTCTCATCTGCCCAATGGTTCCCATTTTAAACTTAATCTCCAATACATTCCCCAGCATTTGCAAAATATCAAATGAGGAAGAGTAAGAGTAAATTATGGTCAATGGAATAAGAGGGAAAATTTAATGATCATAGCAAATTGAGCAAGCATTTCTGCCACTTTTGTAGTCAGCCCCCTGAGGTGAATCAACCATTATTATTTTTGGACATTCACAGGCATGGTAAATATTCCTCAGTATTAGAGGAAAATAGAGGTTGGCTGTTCAGCCCCTCAAGCCTTTTCAGTTATTCTATCATGGCTGATCATCCACCTCGGCTATCCTTAAGTCTCCGAACACTTCCACGTCCCGAATTCCTTTTCTCTTTCTATCTCAAATGTAATGACCACAATTTTCATGTCCTCTTGTGGGGGAGGGTTGGGAACTCAAAGGATTCACAACCCAATGGTGGAATAAATTCCTCATCTCAACCCTAAATTATCAGATATACAATGCTGGATTGAATGCTGCTTGTTTTTTGTTCGACTCACATTTTAGCAATCATGACATGCTATACTTGGATAGTCAGTCACAAATTAGTTTCTGGGCTGGGAACCCTGAAGGAAAAAATTTATTTTTAAAAATCAGTTGTCAACTCCCCCCCCCCCCCCCTTCAATTCAGAACAAAATATTTTACAAAGAAATATCTGCTCCAAGTATCCCTATTCCCAGTTTGGTCATGCAGAGTTCAATACAATTTTTACATATCACCATACCCCCAAAAACAGGTGGTGAACATAAGACCGGAGCAGGTCAGTCTGGGCGCTCCAATTTAACTATTTACAGACACAATCTCATTTCATAATATTCTCAGGAAGAGGAGGAAACATTTACAAAGTTTCTTTGGGAAATCTGGAGCACGGGAATATTTATTAGTCATTGCAATGCCTATGTCGCTTCTTGACATGTGCCCAAATCCATAATTGGACAGTGACAAAGGCTGCTGTTGATACTTAAAGCAGTTACATCACGCACTGTACCAATTGCTGAAAACTTGGCAAAACCACAAAAATGCGCAATTTGACAAAATGTGATTTCCATTACAAAAGTGGCTGGGGTTGGTAAGGAGTGGTAGGAGGAGAGTGGAGCTCCAGATACATAGTCGGGATGAGAAAAGACACTTCCACCAAAGGAGTGAATTATTTCCATGAAATCCAAATCACTGGATAGAACAAAAACCAAGGAAAAGATGATTGCACCTTTGAACAAAGTTGCAACAGGGGAAGACAGAGAGCTGTGGCAAGAAGGCAGCGTACACTAGTTAGTACCAGTCTGATCTAGTTACAAGTCTACACATTGACAATTAAGCAGATGGCTTCAAGCTGTGTTGCGAACATCTTCAGTTAGATTACTTCATGTGAGACTCACGTAACAGCCTTTTTTACATGCAATGTTCAAATGGATGTACAAGACAAACTGATAAGAATAACAAACATTTGAGTTCTGAGTCTTGGAATGGAACTCCAGCTGCAGACAACCTAAAAAAAAAAAAATTAGAAATAACGAGCTCTCAAACCAAGTGGCCAAAACTGTTTCTGAATAACAAAGGCCTTCTCAACATCCAACTTCAACTAAAATATCTTTAACAGCTTTAAAACCAAGTTCTTTCAGGCATATTTTCCCTGACAAGTAACTTCAGTTGTGCTGCACTGTAATGTCTTTCTTGTAATCAAGTGACAAATTCAATGTAGTCCTAACTGTATGATATTTTACTGCAACTGCAATCTAAGTTGACTCAACAGTTTAAAAGGATTAAGAACAGATTTGTTTCTTAAAAAAAAAAGAGAAATCCTTATTCATTTAAAGCATTTCCTTCTGTGATCAATTTGGCAGCTACATATTCCAGATATTCAGACAAATAATTGGATTTGAACACAACTCAAAAACAGCCCAAGAAAAAAGCAACACACCTTTGTTTAAGTAAATAGAACTTGAAGGTACTCCGATAAAACACAAAAGCTTACTTGAGTGCCAATCTCTTACCTGGCAGAGGTAGTTGTACAAGCAAACCATCAACTTGGTCATCCTTGTTGAGCTTATCAATCAGCTGGAGCACTTCCTCCTCGGTGATGCTCGCTGGCTTCAGAATGGTCTCACTTGTGATACCTGTTTAATAAAAATAACTATTACGACAACTAAACATCCATGATTCAAATCTGCACTGCTCAACTGCAAATAAAAAAGCTCACTCAAATGAGTGTACCAGCCTGTTCCAACAACTACCATTGCCTGTTGTTAGCCTAAACTCAAGTCAGTCAGAATTTAGTAAAGGCATGAACAAGCAAAACATTGTCCAAGGTGGAAAACTGAAATAAAACAGATTATGACAGACATGCTTTTAAGAACTGATAGCATAAGTGGAGACAGAAACAGAGTTAATGTTTCAGGTTGACAATCTTTCATCAGAACATGATTTAAGATGTGACACTTAAAAACTTGAGGATGCAGAGAAACTGGAAATGGCAACACGACAAAAAGAAAACTACGGTGATACAGTGAATACATCCTGGTGCAAGGTAGCAAACATGAGCTAGTTTGACAAGTGAAAGCTAAAGATAGTCCAGACAAAAGGTAAAATGAGGTACCAAAATAAACAAATCCTTTCGAGAACTGTAAACAATCACAAAACAGAAGAATCGCAAAATTTCTAAACTCGATGGCTATAATCAAAGGACCTTGAAGTCACCTCAATATTTCTGAACAGTGATTAATGGACTTACAGTCACATGAACCTACTCCCAAGATAAGCCTCCTCACTCTTTTTGCTTCTGGATGTAGTCAATGTATGTGCACCTTCAGAAAAACAATGGTTGCAGACACACTTTAACACACCAGATCCTGACCACACTCAAAAGCCAGCGAGGCACTCTTTTAGCACATCATTCACCACACAAACATCACAAAGCTGGCTCTTCTCTTCTCGCTTGGAACCACCTCCCCAACTGTTAACCGCAAACTCTGAAAGAGAATCAACCAACAATCTTGTCCCTGTGCCTGACTCAGCTTCACATTGAGTTAATCGGTAAAGACAATTATCATTTAGATAGAAACATGAACAAAACCAAATGCAGTTAAGAGTTACATGGAAAATTTGGGAGCCAGGGAATAACAACAGCTGCATTCCTTTGGATGAGGCACAATTTGACAATTTAAAAGAAAAAAGAAAAAGAGAGAGCTTCTGATGGTCCAAATACCGTTTCCTTTAAAAAGAGTGTAGCCACTGTCACAGTATCAGAAATACAGCAACCAATTTACACACAGCAAGGTCCAGCAAAAAAAAAAGCAATGTGATAATAACCAAATGAGTTCTGGTTTTGTGATGTTAATTGAGTGATAAAGATTGGCCAGGTCATTGAGAACTCCAACATTATATCTTTGTAGTGGTGCCATTTTCATCCACCAGCAGGGAAAATGTGACCTTGGTTTAACGTCTCTTTTGAAAGATGCAACCTTCAAGAGTGCAGCCATTTGTGTTTATATTGTGCTTTTCAAGTCATTAAAAAAAAAAAGGCACATCCACCAACTGTGGCATAGCTGAGGTTGGGATCGCTCATACATCCCTAATTACAAGAAAACATTGAGACATTGAAAGGGTTTAAAAAGATGACCAAATTGACATCACTAATTTGGAAGCCAGTGTAGGTCACTAAGCACATGGCAGATAAGTGAAAGGGGAGTGACAAGATTTTTGGGTACAGAGGTTAAGGGAGGCATCAGATGCATGGTAGAATTTGCAAGGCAAGTCAGCGTGTATTGGAATAGACAAGTCAAGAGGTAGCAAAGGCAACAATGAGATGTTTAAACAATGGAAGTGACGAGGAACAGAAGCATGGAAACAGGCAGTCTTAGCAGTCAGAATTAGTCCATTTCATGTATTATAATAGTTCTTGCTACAAAACCTGGGATAAATTTGAAGTCCCTTACAATCAACGGTTTGCCAAGTCACGAGGACTCATCTAACACTGGCTTGCCTGAAGGCATGACAGTTTTATATAGGATACTGTGTTTACGTTTGAAAAAAATTCTACCCTTATTCGCTCACCTAAACCCGTGATCTTTTCTCGTCCTTTACTGTTCTTTTTGACTACAATTTGTTCTATTTAAACTTATTTGGCTAATTTCAAAAGCAGCTTTTGGCTTCCAGATGGAAGCAGCCACATTCACTTGATAGTGTTCTGATTGTCTGTTTTTCACCACAATCGATTTTATGCCGCCTTCGTCTCTTTGGTGGATCTTTGATGGACTAAAATTGTTTTAAAAGAAAAATATTGACTTAAGATAGCTGCAGTGCTCACCTGACCAGGTTGAGCAAACCTCAAGCAGCAATGACTGATCCAAAATTAACAGGTACAATCTATGATCTGAATCCAAGGCTTGAGTCACACGGAACTCAAATCCTGCATTATCATCAGCTTTCTGAAAACTTGATTAGTCGGTGAAAAACTTGTCCACAAAACTCCGCACCTTATGTACATTTCAGGAACAATGGAATGGGAGCTGCCTGTTAAAAATCGCTTGGTAACACCACCTTGAACAACTACCAAATCCGTGCAATTATGCACAGGTTCCCAGGTAACAAGATCTATTCTTCACAGTGCCAGGAAGAGTGTCAAATCCAACTAACATGAAAACTAAAAGGATTTCTTTCATCACTGATTTTCCATGGAATAGACTACTCGATAAAAGTGGACACAACACATGGAAATCCATACCTACATCCGCAGCAGCTTTTGTTTTGTTTTTCACGTAGGAATGACTGGCTGGATTATCTCCAATAAGAACAACACTAAGATGTGGTCTCCGATTGCCATCAGCAACCCAGTTCTCCACGTCAACCTTGGCCTCACTTTGGATTTGCCTCGCAAGCCTTCTTCCAGAGATGACTACCGCCTCGTTTCTGAAATTACAATATGCCGAAAAAATTAACTTCGAGGAAAAGTTAATTTGGAAGACTGTCAGCATCTCAAAGGCCAAATTAGTCATAACATTTCTAAGATGGTGTGAATAGCTTAACAGGAAAAAAAAGAAATTAGAAGAACAAGCAGGTCATCAGATTCTTTCAGCCTGTTCTACTATGCAGTAAAATCAGCACTGATTTGATTGGGGTCTCAGCTCCAATCTCTCATCAAAAAGCTACCCAACTCAAGGACTGAGCCTCCCTTGCTTTCCGATGAAGAAAATTCCTCAAAAGAGAAACAAATACTCTATTTTAAAAAAATTAGAGGTATCTGATTTGAAACATGTTCCCAAGTTCCAGCCTCCCCAACAAAAAAAATTAGCCTTATGTGCATTCTGTTGATTCCCTCAGGATCTTGCCTGACCCCAAGTTTTGGGATATCATTGACAATAATGCATATACTGCACATTGGCTCAGGTGGAAAAATGACACAGAGCATCTCCAAATCCTGCTCAAGTTTCAAATATCGAATTTCACCATGCACTCAGTACAACATGATGCCACAGCAACCATATTGCAATATCCTTCCATGGGAAGACAGTTTTCTTGACCGCGTTCTCATTCTCAAGATACCAACTTTAAAAAACATAGGAAATCCATCTTTATATTCAATCCCAAAAAGTGTTGAGTTAGGAAGACAATCTTATTAAAACCACTTCCTAACTTTTTGTATGTGTGATAGAAATATTACAAGCAGCTCAACTCTTCATCACTTTTCAGAGAGGTGTAATTCTATCTGTGTATATGTTTAGAGGCCTACTTTTCTATAATAAGGCAACTACAATTGCAGACAACGCTCTGATGTTACCCCAACCAACATGCTGTATTCACTTTCTTCAGATATCATTCTCCTTGACCCCAGTCATAAAACACAAAACAACTGGGCCTTTTTTTTGTGGTTTTCTGCTATTGTCACTTTCAGATAATTACATATTTCACCTGCAGCATCGAGATATTTGTCCATTGTGCCTTTTAATTGTGTTCATGAGTTTTCTTTCAAAAATTCTAATAGTGTACCATCCCACTTCCAGGGATATATTGTTCTTATCATTCACAGTCATGATCATTTTCACCAAGGCAAACCTTTGCTTGTTTCGATCACTTTTGAACTTAAATCACCAGAAATACAAGAAAATCTGCATATTGGATATCTGGAATTAGACAAGCTCCAATGTTTGTCTTTTTTAACTAATGTCCATTTGGCTCAACTATTTGTTTCTACGTTGCTACATTTACTCTTTAGACCATAAGGCCGAATGTTAATTTTGTTTAGTGATATTTTGATAGTTGTCTTCTGAAAATTCACATTTCCTTTACATAATTAACTAGTTGTATCTTTGAAACACAAAGATTGCAGTGAAACATGATTTCCTTTCATCAACTGGAAATGGTTATCCGTGCCTAACTCATGAACTTCTGAACAGTTTCTGTATTTGAAGTCTTCATGTGAAACATGAACTGGACTTAAACATACCTGAGAAACAATCTAAAAACTCTCAACTGAAGCAAATAAAGAGTGAGTCAAAACAATGACTAACTTCAGAAAAAGAGAAGATTGGTCTTAAAGAATAAGTACTTACATTGGTGTGGGCTTTTGGTAGCTAATGTAGTCAAAAACTGAAGCATGCAGTCACCTAAGATGCCATTACACATTCTGTTGGGATGATGGATCAGTTTGGCTTCAAGCATATCACAGAGATGAGGAGGAGCAGGCCCCATGAAGGATTTGAATATATGGATGGCAATTTATACTTACAGATATTTAAACCAGGAAGAAGCAGAGTTTATTGAGAAGTATGGACGCATGCAACATGATATGGCTGTGTTGACATAAAAGTGAAACTCATGCTTGGGACAACAATAGCAACTTGCATCTATACATGCTTTGAATGCAGCGAATGGCCTTATGTTGCTTCACAGCAGGTGTAAACCAAAAGATGACCCCTCTCAACACCAGGAGGTAACAGGAGTGACCAAAAGCTAGGTCAAAGAGAAAAATCTCAAGAAGAACTGTTTATGACCACATGAAATTTTCAGAAGATACACAGTGTGGGAGGGGTATGTCAAAATAGTCAAGTGGAGAGGTGTTAATGATACCTGTTCCAAAACAGCAGGTGAATAGTCAAGCAATGATAAAGCTAAAAATGCAGTGTTCATGATTATGAGAATGTGGTCAGATGATCATGGATGGTTCTAAATCCATGAATATCTTACTGCAAAAAAACTGAGGTTCACCCAAGACAGCATATTTGGGAGGGGATTTATGGTGGGTTATGGTCTTTGTCTCAGAGTCAAAAAGCCTGAGTTCAAGTCCCACCTGTTCCAGAGGAGTGGATAAACACCTGAGCCTGTTGGCTAGAAAATATTTATAGCTATATATATACACACACACACACACACACACACAATGACATATTTGGGCCTCACATGATGTAGTGGTAGTGATCTTATCTGAGCAAGGAGGCCAAGATTCTAGTCACATTTGTTCCCAAGGGTTTGTAAGAACATCTCTGAACAGGCTGATGAGAGAATAACTAGGTCAGTGGATTGCTGGTCTGACCATCACAGCTGATGCTAATCATGACTCAAAGTGTCTTCCTTCCACTAGCAACACAAATTGACAATCACACAATTTGGCATCCTTTCATTTAAGGCCTCACTAAGGAATATGAAACATGGGATCTACTTTTAATCAGATTTAAATATTTACCACAACAGAATTAAAATCAGCATGTGCAATGCATGTGGGATTCTCAATCGGTAGTTCAATGGCAGGACTGTGGTGCCACAGTTAACCCGAGTGAAGCAGCTAAAAAAGGTTGGCTTGGATCTCTGCACCTGGATTTTATCAAAAGACCTGATTTGTAAGCGTGTCTATGGACTTAAGGTGAGAACCAGATCAAATTTGGTTCTAATGCTCAAATGTTTAATGATCTACAGGCACCAAGTGTCCAAGCTGCTGTTTAACTAGTCACTTTGGTAATGGGAGTAGATAGTTGCTAACACTCGCAATTTCTTTTTCTTATCGAGCCAGGGCTTTAGAAATGGCTAAGTAACCCTATGACTGAAATGTTTAATATGAATAGAGGTCTGAACCAACTCCAACATTGGGAATACAGCAAGTTTCCAAAAAGCATAGCATCTACATCTTAGTGTTTTTTTTTAAAGCCATTGAATTGAATCTTTTCAGGAAGTGCACTAAGGAGCTAGAACAGGACAAGTCCAGAGAAGACAAGCATACACTGCAACAGATCCAAACACGTCATCCAGTCAGGAGAAATTTGACCAAACTTGTATTGTATTCTTACACAAAGGAAACTCGTCTGATATTTTAATGGTGGCTTTGAGAATTATTTTATTTTTAACGTTGAGAACCTTCAGTTATAAACTACTTGCTAAGAACTTTTTGAATGGAAGCATTGAAACAAAGTGTTAAAGAGTGAATTGAAGATGCATTTTAGATCACCGCTTAGAGGTTTTAGGTTTATCAAACATGCTGGACTACTTAATTCCCTGCTTCCAAATACGCCTTATGCAATTACCAGCCTTCATCATTCAAACAAAACAACTCCCAAAGCAATGTGTCGGAGGGACACAGGCGCAAAACGCAAAGCTGCGTATGCTTAAAATCGTAATGAAGAAGCTTACTATAAACGCAATAGCTTTTCGGTATTCAGCATAATGAAAATTCATGATTAACCACGTTTATGATATTAACTGTAATTGAACACTGCAAATCAAATAGCAATTATTAAAACGATATCCCTGGTAGAACTAGGTGCATGGTACAAGACATGGTTAAATATGTATGCGTTGTCCATCAAGTGCTGCAGTATCCATTGCAGTGATTATAACTATCCCTTAACATAAACACCACATAAACTAAAAACGACGTTTTATTCATTTCAACACTCGTAGTAATTAGATTACGCCATGAACGGGAACTACTTAGATCTTTCTCGTTGGTGTAACTCACGATTCCCAGAAACTGATAGAGAAGCACGCTAACTGTCCAACCTCCAGATTTAGAATCGACAGCTGTTATTTTAGAAGTTTACCTTTAAAGAAGCCCGTGGATTTAAAAAGAATGGCTATTGGACATGGTCAAATAAGGACAACATGGATGTAATACTTCTATACAATGAGTCTTCAACACAGGCTTTTGTCAAACGTCTTCTGAGCGATCAATAGCGCCAGGTAATGCAATTATTTGCTCTGTACCGAGTTTTTCCACTGAGTACCATAGTGTCACCCAAAGCTCCAAAACAGCGGTTCGACAAACAAAAATGTACGTGCAAATGGACAGGCAAAACAGAAACGATGCCCAAACAATGATACACTCTTCAAAGAGATCTTCTTAGAGACCGTTTGCTGTTACTTTACAACAGGAAATGGATTAAAAAGCTCGACACAAGTTGGGATCCAAATATCACACAGGGGACTTGACTGACCGAGGGTAGACGAAGAGTGAGCAGCGCGTGTTAAATTTTGGCACAACCGTATCGGAAACCTGATGCAGTTCGAAATGTAGTTTCGTTTCGAGAGAGACAAAAACTGGCTGTGCTGCGTCTGAATGCACTCAGAGAATACTGAGATGTCGTCGGACAGATACACAATAGACTTTAATATTCATGAGAGGAACTCGCCTAATTAACAAAGAAGAACGTTAGTCAGATTGCTTTTTTATGTGCTGTTTGAAAGGGGTTGGTAACTTTTGCACTTATCACCTCCCCAACACTACCCCCTCCCCAAGTCACAGGACACGAGGTGGGGGCAGGCATTGCAGCCACATGCAAACCGACAATCTACAATGACACTTCAAACACGTATCCAATGAATGAACTTGTTAACTTCCTTTCTCTCGACCCAACACCAAAAAGCACCCCAAATGGGGAGTTGGAATAGGAGAGCGGAAACGTGCGGATCGTGGAAATTTTACTTCCAGAGATCCGCGATCAATGCGGTTCATGTTGACCGGCATTTAGATCACGCTGGCGTAAGCAAATGGAGATATTTCATCATGCTGCAGTAGCAGCCTTATGCTCCCACTCATCCCACAGGAAAGCCAGGCTCTTCTCCACCCACGGCACGCAAAACCGGCGATCGCATCCTCAACCTGCGACATGAGGAGTGGTGGAGGGAAACAGCATCTTGGCGAAAGAGGGGGGAGATGCCTACCTCATACCGCTCAGGTGCAGTTGGCGGTGAAAACAGAGCCGACCCAGGCTGCTGCGGAAAAGCCCGCTACTATGTGCCATACTTCTAGTTGCGTTGACCAGACACAGAACGATACTATTCACCGCCTTTCACATCTCCTTGACGTTCACAAAAGGCGGGTTTTAGGTTGTTACCCCACGCCCTTGGTGGAACCCAATTGGCTGACTCGCGCAAACGTCTCCCGTGCGAACCGCTGCTGATTAGCCAGCACCTGTCCATCAACTGTTTCTATTTCGGTTACCGCGCAACAAACGGACGTCACCAGTTCGACGTTCCCTGACCTCTTGGGGCGGGAGAGGGCGAGTCAAACACATTCAGAGTGCTTCTGCATTAGAATTACAGCTGTCGTGGCTCGGCAAAATAAGAGCGTTTGTACTGCGGACAAGTTCGTGTTTCACCGTAAATAAACGATGAAACCAACATGCCGCAGGCTTCTTGCATTTCTATTTCTTGCCTTAAAGGGCGAGCCCACAACTATTCCTCGAATTTACCATCCACTCCAAGACAACCGAGATTATCTCCTTTGCGTTGCAAACTGCGATTGTTTAACAATGTTTGATATTTTCTTGAATCCGACGAACTGCAAACCAGTGTGTACATCACGTCAAGAACAAAACCTTCAACAAGAATCCGTGACTGAACAACGTCCAACATGTAAAGATTATTAGCGCCAGTGATTGCTAGGCATAAGTATAGTCCTCAATGGCCGTCGCCGCCACCTCGCGCCTTAAACCCATCATGTGTATTGAATTTCTGCCACACCATTAGACTGTGCAACGACTCGTCTGCCGTTTGTCAACCCAGACGACGACCTTCTTCCACTCCAGTTGTGAGTCAATGGGCTAATGTTGGATCTGCATTAAAAGGGGAGAGGAGATGTTTCGGTTTTTGCGTACACCGTCCAAGCATAGCACACTTGGAAATGCTCAATGGTTGCATACGTAGATGATTCTCTCACACGATACTAGGGGAGGCAATGGCCTAGTGCTGGACTGTTAATCCAGAGACCCAGGTAATGGGAAGCCCGGTTTGAATCCCGCTACGACGGATGGTAGAAATTTGATTTCAATCAAAAAAATCTGGGATTAAGAATCTAATGATGACCGCGAATCGATTGTCGGGAAAAAAAAAACCTTACCTGGTTCACGAATGGCCTTTAGGATTAGGAAAATGCCATCCTTACCTACATGTGATTCCAAAAAGGTGGTTTACCCAGATGACCGCTGGTCAATTCGGGATTTGGCATATGTGCTGGCTGGCCAGCGCCACCCTCATCCCATGAATAAATAAAGGGGAATAACCTCAGGCGCTGCATCCCAGGTCAGAGCGAGGTTATTTCTGCAGGGAGATTTTGCGTCCTAAAAAAAGGTTTCCTGTGGTCGTGGTAGGTTCTTGTACGTGAAAATTAAGCAGGAACTTGTTTGGGTAAGTAGAGCAGGCGCGGATGAGATTTTCCAATTAACTAAACTATCTCCAACAAGACGTAAAGTGAAACCTCCCACGTCATCTCTCTGAACTTTCCCTATTTCCGTCCCCATCCAGAATAGTTAAAACGTTCTGATTGTACCAGGCTGGAGCACTTCTTGGGGCAGCTCATTACGCGCATGCCTATGCTGTATGAATTTGCTTCTCACCTAAAACCTTTGTGCTCTAGTTTCTTCCCCCCACCACCACCAAAACACTGCCAAAGACCTTGTCCATGCGCCTCATGACTTTGTAAACCTCTCAAGGATACCGGTATTCCTCCGACATTTCAGAGAGAAAAGCCCCAGCCTCCTCGGCCCCTCCCTATAACTCATCCCCTCCAGTCCCAGCAAGATCCTTGTATGTCTTTTCTGCATCTTAAGTTTCACCACATCTTTCCTCAAGTAGTACAGGCAGTATTCCAGCACCCATGTCCCCGACAGGAGCAACCACATCCATACTCTTATACTCAAGGCACCGACCTATAAAAGACACGGGGGCCGAACACTTTTACCACTACCCTGTCTGCCTGGCACTCTACCTTCAAGAAATCATGAACCTCAACTCCAAGCTCTCTTTGTTCAGGCACACGCCCTAGGATCTTACCATTGAAGTGTTTAAAGTCCTGTATTGATTTACATTACTAAAATTCAACAACTGACGATGATATCAATTTAACTCCATCTACCATTTCTTGGCCCAACTGAGGAAGGTCCCATTACTAACTACCTTCACTGTCCACTACACCAATTTTGGTGTCATCTGAAAACTTACTAACCATTCCTCCTAAATTCACATCCAAACCATTTAAAACAACGATCTTTGCAGCAGATTGCTGGTCACCCACCTCCACTGGGAAAAGCAACCTCCACCAACACCTGCTGTCGCCTATCTTAGAGGTCATTATGTATCTAAAAAGGCGAGCTCTCCGTGGATCTAACCCTTGCTAACCAGTCTACCACAGGGATCTTGTTAAACACCTTGTTTAAATTCAGGGAGATATCTACTCTCCGGCTTTCAATCGATCTTGACACTTCTTCCAAAAACTCAATTTCCCATGCACAAAGCCACGTCTACTATCCCTAATTCGTCCTTACCTTCCCCTATGCATCTAAATCCTGCCCCTCATAATCCCCTGCAACAACTTTCCCAATACTGATGTCAGGTTTACCAGTTTACAGTTGCCTGGCTTTTCCTTCCACCTTAAATAATGACATTGCATTAGCCATCTTCCAGTCTTCTGGCACCTCACCCGTGGCTATTGATGATACAAATATTGCAATCACTTCCCTAGCTTCCCACAAAGACTGACTAAAACCAGAGGACAACATGAATCGTTTCACATAACTTGGGGGTCCAGGTTCAAGTCCCACCTCGCCCGAGATGTGACATACTATTTGTGAACGGTGTGATTAGAAAGTCCAACTCAGAGACCTGCATTTCTTACCGTGACTCAATATCAGATATGCAGCAAGGCTCGTAATGCAGTGGTCATATCCCTAACTCTGAGGCATGACACCCCAGTTCAAGTTGCACATGCTGGAGAGGTGTGGTTTAACATCCTTGGTCATGTCTAAGAAAATATTTCAGACAGACAACATCCAGAAATTTCAAAGCAGCAAATATATTATGATCTGGTAGGACAGGAGAATTTTTCAGGAGTATGATACTCAAGCACACTTTCGGACCAAATAATGGCAGAAGCAACAACAAAGGCACAGCTTGACCTCAGCTGCTAAGACATGGGAAAATGCCAGGAAGAAAGCCTTCAAGGATTGAAGGGTTAGGAGACACTGAAATCTCAGAAACGATGATTATAATACCTGCCTAATGCTTTTCTCCCTCATTAAGAAGGGGGCACGTATGGTTCTTGAATCCTTCTGCAAAGTTTCTCACCATCTACCCAGTTCAGATCTTCTGGATTTTGAGCAACCCTATCACATATCCTTCATGTTTTCATTCTGGCAGAGAAATCAAGTTTGCACCCCACCCACATCACTGCTCCTTTCATCAACTGTAAATGTTTTTGCAACCTGATGGTGTTATACCCAAAATATAACACTCCAGGCATGACAGAACCCAAATTCTATGCAGATTTATTTTAACTATTATGCTTTTACGATACAAAATTGGTGAGAGAAGTGTAGAGTAAAATGGATTGCCATTAAGTCTGCACCCACACCACCTGTTGACTGGAACACCATTTTATCTTACCTTGTCCTTCCCAACCCATTTAATCAGTTAATATCCATCTGCAAAACAAGTCATCTACTACTGAGCAGCCCATTTTTCCCTTCTGCAACTTGTGTCTGCTTAAGGCCAACACTTGTCTCTCATGTTTCATCTTCGAGCCCGATGTTCACGTTTTACAACGGTGTCCTGTACAACCAAGTCTCAATTAAACCAAGAGGCAGAGATTCCAATATTAACCTTTCATTCAAGAGTGAAAATTAACACCCCCATAGCTCGGTAATCTAATTTGGCAAAGCTTTCTTCAAAGGGGTCATCCTTGTGCAAAGGTGGGAAGAGGATTACAGAACACAGAGGGAATTAGGCAGGAGACAGTCACACATATCCCCTGTCTAAACATACTAGTTTGAAGCAGCACGGTGGCTCAGTGGTTAGCACTGCTGCCTCACAGCACCAGAGACCCCGGTTTGATTCCGCCCTCGGTGACTGTGTGTGGAGTTTGCACATTCTCCCTGTGTCTGCATGGATTTCCTCTGGGTGCTTTATTTTCCTCCCACAGTCCAAACATGTGCAGGTTAGGTGGATTGGCTATGCTAAATTGCCCGTAGATTTCAGGGATGTGTGGATTAGGTGGGTTATAGAGGAATAGGTCTGGGTGGGATGCTCCAAGGTTCGGTGTGGACTTGATGGGCCGAAGGGCCTGTTTTCACACTGTGGGGATTCTATTCTACGATCTCCGAGGTTAAAACCAGTCCGTGACAATGATACACTGACAATAGACTTGATTGAACTGGACATAAAGATTTTGAATCCCTGGCTACACAGTACTTCAGAAACAGCAAGGACAAAGGATGGTATTAATAATGAGAACAGTGACATGTAAGGTACTTCTTGGTCAATGTTTTTCCAGCCCAAAAGAGGAAACACTGCTGTTCAGAATGATCTAGCACTAAGTGCACACAACGAGTGATTTAACAGGAAATCTTCAGGAAGTACAGAAGTATACCAAGCAGTTCAAGTAGTCCATCACAGAGCAATTATGAAATGAAGGACCAGGAACGAAGGTCAAAATACTTCAAAGGAGATAGGGTAATTTCAGAGTCAAGATCTGGCCCAGATGGTTTGAAATATTAGACAAAAACTAGTTATCAGCTAATGGGAGGCTTCTTTAGTTACGTTAGCACACAATGCAATGAAGGCAAAAGCCAGAGCATCCTTTAGCACCTAAGAGAGTAAACAAAGATTAAAACCTCTAGGATAATTGATCCCTTTTCTATTACGTGAACTTTCAAATCAGTGATTCATAAGATCAATCTTTTGAGGCTCAGCCCAAAGTGAGTACATTTCAGGCTTCAAATCTTGACATTTTTACAGTCATTACCTCAAGGATCACCAGTATTCCTTGGGTGAATATACCAAGGACTGACAAGCCAGCATATTATCTGGGACATCTCACTGTTGCATGCAAACTATTCATTTGATAGCATTTGCCTTCACCAAATCTGTTGTTTGCTATCTTACCTCTGGTGTTTGAATTCTCAGCAGGTTAATCGCAACACTGAAAGACAACATGTCTTTACCATAAGCCATTGCCAAGGTACCATGGATAAAATGTTTTGGCAAGGGAGAACAAAAAAAAGGCAACAAATGAGATAGTAGTTTAAGAAGGATGCAAGTCACAAGAAGGATTCCCAAGATCAATTATTTTTCTATTACAACAAAATACTGCAGATGTGTCAGTTCTGAAGAGGAGTTACTGAACAAGATGTTAACTCAATATAGTCTGCACAGGTGCTGCCAGACTTGTGCAGTTCCTCCAGCCATTTACTTTTGTCATAGTTCTTCTCCATTTATATAGTTACGAGTAGAAACTCAAGCATCGCAGCGTTCATGGGCCACAAGCCAATGACTGATTCATAATTTCAGAAATTTGATGGTTCTTCAAAAGGAATGCACCATCAAGCAACTCAGCCAATCACTGAAGAAAATGGACAGGATCTGTCTCAAAATCTAAGAACAGATTGGAAGACTGAATGACCGTACAGACCATAACACAAAAAAGGAAACCATCTCTGTTGTGGTCATGTTCAGAATGCTGACTGTATCACTGGGCAAACTACAAACCAGAGGTTTGAAGTCCATTCTCTTAATTATCATTTGACAATCTCGCCAAGACCTGCAGTAAAGAGCAATTTAGGGAGTTCAACACAGACAGTCAGTCAGCCCACTGCACGTGCACCAATATTACACAAGCAATCCGATGTGACCCAGTACACTAGATCTCACCCAGTTGTGACAACATCTATCAAAAAAAAAACTAGTAATTCTTATGTACCATCTAAAAACGCAGTGCATTTCAAATTTGTGACATGTTTCAAAATTGTGAAATGTTTCTCCATGTGACCTTGAATTTATTCCCCCTAGTTATTTTACACCTTTTCTCACCTATATTCATTCAGCCCTTCATGAAAAATATCGTGTATACTAATGTGCTATTTATAGTAACCTTGTGCAATTCACACCTGTAAATAAAACCAACAGCATCACCCTCGCTTCTCCAGGCAAGATCTATTGCACAAATGTGAAGTTGACAATCGTGTACACAAGTTCAGGGACTAACTAAGGCCCCACATGAGCAATCTTACCCTTTAAAGCCCTGAATAAAGCTTGTCCTGTTCACATTTTTCTGAAATTACACTTTATTATATTCACCATTAGAAATGTACAGTAAGTCATCTTTCACATATGTTGAAAAAAGTACAGGTTTCAGAAGCTGCACATTCAAGTGTCAAGGTCAATATGTCCCACTGAACAAAGCATGGTAACCAAAACACCACCTTTCAGCATGGAACGCAGGTATTCTTCTCATTTTTAAAACTACATTGCTAACAGTCAAAAAATTAAGAATCAAGGTTAAAAACGATGTGAACCAGACATACTTTTAAAAAAAACTAACTGCCGAAGAAAACATGTTTGCTTGGATTTCCAATACCAACACTCAAGAATACAAGCTGGAGGAACTGACAGCTCAACACCGTTTTAAACACCCTGTATCCGCTTCTTCATTTTTAATCTGCATTCCACAAGTCATAACAGGAAAATATGCCAACTGAGAACCTCACAGTTAGCTGTTAAAAAGTTAGCTTGAGGGGTCCATAGAAGTGAACACAACAACAAAAAGATGCAAAATTTGAACTTGGAACAGTATTTGCAGTTGTGTCTAATCAGCAAGTAATGGGACAATGGTTTATGAAGACATAACTGAAAGATGTTCTACCAGATGTCCATAACCGCACATTTCTACATGTGACATTCAACCTCAAATTGAACAAAGTGTGGAAATTTTGTGGTGGTCCTCTGGTTAACTAAATCTCTCCCAGTTTCATTTTTAAATGGTACCACCGAAGTAAAAAAAATATTCACAATCACACAACTTGCTCATCTGAGAATGTTTTAAAAGATGATCCAATGTTAGATTTAGTTTAGTTAAAATAATAATGTAAGAATTCATCAAAAGAAGGCTTTGAACCAGATGTTTACTTTGATTTGCCACATTCATTCAAGTCCAAAATTATCAAAAGAAGTTTTAACTCTCCATCAGGTCTAACACCCGAAGCTTCAAACAATGTTACCCAAGCCTGGGCAAACATGGGCTTTACACCAAAACATGTAAAAAAATAAAAAGAATTGCAAAGTAGCTCTATTAGTAAAAATATTACTGCTTTTGGTTTTGAAGAAAACAAACAGCAACACTGCTGCATTGGTCATCCATTATGAAATTGTGGCAAGAGTTTGGGTTCTTGAAGCTTCTGGCTCATGGCCTGATGAGCATAATTTTAAGTTTACATTCTCCATCCAGCCATGCTTGTGTCTAGATTGCCCATTCCCATGTGCTGATTTGGATTGCTCGAATATCCACCTCCTCCCATACCACCATAACCTGCAATTAGGAGGAAAAAAAAACAACTTTTTAGAACTACCTCCTTCATTTTGTATTAACAAACTTCCAAGTGCCAATATTACATTCAGCTGGTGTCTTACATTTGTGTAAAACAAAGAATTAACCTCCGAGATAAACTGTCACCAATTATTCATTTCACACACAAAGTTACCTATTAACAGGACAAGCGTGATAAATGCCGCCAAAACTTTTAAATTTCCCAAATAAAGCATCTCATCCACACGTAGGGACCAAAGTTTTTGTAACATACAAAGCTGCACTTACCAAATCCACGTGCATTTCCAGGATTTCCATATCCACCATAGCTATTGCCCATATTACCGTAGCTATTTCCCATACCCTGGCTGTTATGACCATAGCCTCCTTGAGTGCCTGTGGACCAACAGAAAATGCACACTTTCATTTATCGCTCTTCCCCCATAATGAACCAATAACAGCCACACTCCGACTGAAGCACTATAATTTGTCGACATTCAGCAGTCAAGCACTCAAATCACTAGGCATCAATATTGCACAGAACTATTTGCACGGAGGCTGGAGGTCAAATCCTCTTCCCTTCAGGGGGCAGATCATGGAGCGTAGCTGATAGCACAGTACTGGGGGGAAGTGACACCCCACACTAACATCATGATTCTAATAAAATGCCACTTTGCTATTTCTGCTGAAACCAAGCAAAAGGAATTCTATAGAGATTATCTTCATTAAACCGTGGCCACCTGCATCCATTACATGAAAATCAAACAGCAAATGCTTGCATCCAGCAATCAGAAATCACAGACAGGTAGCTTCTATCTGAGAATACAATCGCAAAACCTTTCTCCAAAAAAAAGGAAATTCATCACTACTTCAGGCAACAACTTTATTTCTTTTTTTTGGGGGGGTGGTGGGAGGGAAGACAGAGAGAAACAGTTAATCAATCTAATGAAATCATGATATAATTCATCATGGCATAATCCATGTAACACCCATCCCTCCACCACCTGTTCCTCCCAGATCAGTGTTTAATTCTGTTAGCACGAGCAAAATGGTCACCGGGGAACTAACATTCCCTGTTTTCAAGTGTTTCTATCTATAGCCTGCTTAGGATGGTTATACATCTGGTCAGCAGTATCCCTCCAGTTTTTGGCCTATGCATGAAATGGTCATGGCTGAACTAACGATGGCGAACCATTTCATGTACAACACCCCACCTAAAAGCTGTACGCCAACACGGACACAAGGCAAACCGTAAACAAAAAGGACAATATTAGATGTGGCTTCAGCCATAACAGACAGTCAGAATCTGAGAAAGTTACCTGCTGCATAATGGTCCATACTCATGCCCATTGCACCCATTCTGTGATTTCCATAGCCACCAGGCCCAGCTCCCATGTTGGCAGTTGAATCCAGGAACAATTCAATATATCTGTGTTCTAAGAAGTAAATTGCAGTTAGTAAGGACACAATTTCCCATCACTCATTGACATCAGCAAACGATTTCAAAATAAGGAAGATGACTAAATCAATTAACTCATATCCATAAAATTAAGTCTTTCCACAACACTTATGGGATAGAAGTAAAATACAACACAGTTGGAGGTCAGTCTCAGTGGTGAATTACAAGAGTGAACTCAGCTGATAAGCTCATTATAACTGAAACTCATTTAGTCTAATGAGCAATTGAACAGAGGAGACTGACGAAGGGGAAGGAATATGGTTGAAATGTATCAAGCAATGAGGGGCACGGATAGGGTGGACAGCAAGAAACACGCCCCCTTGAAGGAAGCATCAATGTTTGGGGGCATAGATTTAAGCCAAACGGCAGAAGGTTTACTGGCAACTTTAAAGAAAAATATTTTCGCCCAGAGGGTAGTGGCAAGCTGGAGTTCACCATCTAAGAGTGGTAGATGAGCACGTGCAACGCCAAGGCATAAAAGGCTATGGGCCAAGTGTTGAAAAATGCCACGAGAATAGTTGCGTGTTTGCTTGCATCTGGCGTAGATGCAGTGGGCTGAAGGGCACACAACACCTCTATGACCAAGGTGAATGTTTCATTGAGAAGGAATACAGCTATGATACAAAACAGAGCTCAGGTGTACACACCTAGGAAACCTTAAGGAGACTAGACAGCAATTGTTGAAATCTTTGCTCCTGTATTCCTTTTTAAATTTGGTACCTACAAGTGTGCAGTTGACTTGGCATTTTATTTTTGTGGTTCTTAACTGGAAAAAATTACATATTTCTTCAAAATCTCAAATGTCTCATTCATGTTTCTGGTGAATGAGTTCAACCAATTTTAATAAGGGAAAGGTACAATCTGCGACAGCCAACTGAGGAAGGTGAAATGGCATGAGCAATTTCATTGATCCACACTTGACTGTAGTCATGTTATAAATAGTTAAAAATGCTGCAACGAAATAACCATTTACTTTGATGAATTAAGTTGGGATCAATAGTAACAATCTTAGTTACAATGTTCACATGTTTCCATTGTGACAGGGATAGTGACAGAGGAAGCATTTTAACATTATATGATCATTTTCCTACAAATTAATAAACATTGCACTGAAGCCATCTGGGGAGTCAGAAACAAAACCGCCCTGTGCTTAAAGTGAAGAGAATAGAAAACTGAAGCATGTCCACTACATCGAAACAGAAGAAAGAATTCCAAAGCATTTAAAAGATGCCAAAATAATTCCTCAAACTTGGGAGCTGGGGGAAGGCATTGAAAGATTTAGCGTCACAGACAAAGGCAGTTCTGGGATTAGGTGTTACCCACCTGGCAAAGTAACAAATGAAACATGTTACCGGGAGCCAAAAAGAAGTCTCCTTGAAAAGGAACCTCCACTTTAAAAAAAAGTGTTATATATAAAATTGATTTTCAGTTTAGATGTTGTTGTAGTTGCTTGTGTTGTGGTTTTTACCAGACTACTTTTACGAAATTTGTCACAGTGAAAGCTTTGACTTGCATGTCCAGATGCATCTTAGTATAAAACTGAAGTTTAAATATTAATTTATTGACAGGTAAATGTGAAAATCAAAAAAGTTAAATACCTGTTTAATATCAGCTATGTTGCTGACATAAGCTTTTAGTGTTTCTTTCTAACACAAATGGATTTTACCAGGACAGGAGGGTTTGAGTTATCAAAAACAGGCTGGGATTATTTCCCCCCCCGCCATGGAGTGTAGCAGTTTGAGGTGTGACCTTATAGGCGCTCTGAAAATCACGAGGCGCAGAGCAAATGTCTTTTCCCTTGAGTGGGGAAGTTCAAAACTAGCAAAGGTTTAAGGTGAGAGTGGACAGATTTAAAGAGAGACCCAAGGGGTAACTTATTCACACAGAAAGCGGTGCATAATTGGAACGAGCTGTCCGATGAAGTGGTCAAGGCAGGTAACAGTTACAACGTGTAGAAGACGTTTGTACAGGTACATAAATACGAACGGTTTTGAGGGACATGGGCCAAATGCAGAAATGGGATAAATTTAGTTTGGGAAGCCTGGTTGGCATGAGCGGGTTAAACCAAAGGGTCTGTTTCTGTGCCGTATGACTATGACACTGAACTACTTACGCATGTGGGCTTTATCTTTAGACATAGCAGCAACTGCATCTTCATGAGTAGCAAACTCGACATCAGCCTCTCCAGTGAGTCGACCATCAGAGCCATATTCAAAATTTATCTTTACAGGAATCAGCGGTGAAAAGAACTACAAGGAATATAACGGTACAGTTGTTAACACAAGAAAAAAAACAGATTCCTTAGTTATTTCCTCAAACTAAAATCAAAACATCCAATTTTTTCAGCAATGAGTGCTATGGGTCCAAGAGAAAGCAATGATTTCGTGAAGCTTTGTACTGTGTAGCATTTACATCAGGAGCCAAATGCTAATTTTCACACCTTCCCACAATATGTTCTACTACATGGGCTTTAGTTTGTCAAATGAAAAGCTAGCACAAGAACTGTTATGCATCTTCTCTCCTTTTAAACTGCATTTTAAGATATTCAAAGATAGATCGTTCCTACCTCAAATGAACATAATTGAAAGCCATTACTTACACCCCCCCCCCCAAAATAAAAACTTATGAATCCAATTTCTGAGAAGTCACACTTACATCAGCAACATCTCCTTCAGAAGCTCTGAAAGGTAATCCCCTCATGTGTACATAATGACCTGTACCATTCTGAAATAGGGGACCAGCATCGCCTGCTCCACCATAACCACGACTGCCCATGCCTAGATGGCAATAATGTTCAGTTACACACCTGTATATGTCTGTATGAACAAGTTTTCCAACATTAATATATCAGTTCAAACACTTGGCATACAACTAATTTGTAATTGGTCTAATTCAGGAAGTAAAAGACATTCTGCTGTGATGTAAACACCGTATATTAAAAACGCCAACGAAATATCAGCCAATTACCTTCCCCTCTCAAGCAAACATATGGACCAGGAACATCCTTGCCCTACCTCTATCCATCATTCCACCACCTCTGGCATTGTGTCCATATCCATCACGTCCATAACCGTAGTTATCATTATAACCATAATCATCAAAGTTGCCATAACCTAGGGAGAAAACAAACAGGCTGGCTTGAACCAAAAGATGGACCAGACCAGAGTTCTAAACCCTCAATTTTTGCAACCTAAGCTTTTAGATCTGAGTTAGAAGTGCATTACAAGTTCAATTCATGCATCTGAAAGCATTGTACGAAGTCTTTGCATTCAAGTGTTCACAAACTCGAAAGAAGTCTGTCCATGCTCCTACCTCCACCGTAGCCAGCTCCTCTACGTGCTCGATCAAACATGTCTCCTCTCATGGGCCCTGGACCACCGTAGCCACTTCTTGCACCTCCCATTGGTCTGTCGTAGGGTCCTGGCCGCTGACCCATTAACCTTCTCGGTGGATCATGAAAAGCTCGAACTTCACCTCTACTGCTCCTGAAGATTTCAATATACCTAAACATCCACAATTCATATATTTACATCTTGCCTTTGACTATTCATGTTCATCACTAAACACGCTGACGTCATGATTGCAGATTTCTCTGGTAAAAAGACGAAATTCAGCCACTTGCCCTGAACACATATCCCAGAATGGAATAAGCAATTTAGAAACTGGCTCTTTTTAAAAAAAAAAAAAGTGTCCACATTCATGGGAGAGATGTTTCCACCATTCATTTTGGAACCAGGCTGAAGTGTCAAGCCCTACAGCTTGGCTCTCAAAGACAAGGAATGTGCTTCACACCATAGCTCATTAACATGCTTTGGCAGTTGCTTTGCGAAAATGGCAACTTTAAACACATTTACACAACAAACTTAATTCATACGTAAATCATACTTTTCATATGCATCCAGCAGGTGTATCCCAGTATTATTAATGAACAAGAATACCCAAGTGGCAGGCTTATCCATTATAATTGGATGATACCCTGAAACAGCCACTTAGAATCAGAAAATGCTCAGCTTGTAGATCAGTTCATGACATCTCTGAAAATGCATCATCTAATTAACTTTTCACCAGAGCAATCTGCCTACTTTATCTAAAAAAAAACTAGGCACAGTCAATTTGTCAAATATAGCAGCTATTTAATTTTCGCATTAATGTGTCATTTACATATAAAATGTCTGACTTGCTGTGGCAAAATTTGAAGCATAGGAACCAGTTACATGAAGTAACTACAGGTTGTTTCATAGTTGGACGTTCATGAACTGGACGTCAATAAAAAGGAATATTCACCTGCATCTAGTTGCAGTGGTGAAATTTTTTAAACTACCCAAGAGCACAGCAAATTGTTTGCCAAAACACAAAACACGTGTTATATAATTTGACCAAGTTGCATTTGTCAAGCGAATGTTCCGTCTTTAAGTTCCAGTGATTACTGTGACCGCCTGGTTTCCAATGACTATCAGAAACCTGACTGCAAGTAGACACTTGGCTGATCCATATGGTTAGAGAAATTATATCATCAGACTATACATCCTATGAAAGCAATCAATATGGTTCCTCAACTCCAACTCCAGGTTTGATTAAGGAATACATTTTTCTAGAAGAGCAGCTATAGACAATGCAATCTTGGTATCCGTTTCAGAATTCTGGAATCCACCATCCCCCAAGTGCCATCCGATACCAGAGGCTCAAGGAAGTTGAAGGTTTGGTGGGACACTGAAATGAAAACAAAACACAAAATTGACACAGTCGCTGCACCTGAGCAACTGTAATCTCTGGTACTGTTCTCTCCATAACTCCCAACGAGATTAATTTTCAAATTACGTGCAAACAAGACATCAAGTCAGACATTTTAAATACAAAGTTTAGTGCAAGATATCAGAGATATAACACAAGCATTTGGGACAAATTTCACCAATTAGCTATTAATACCGACGCTTCTGAACGCGAATCTGAATACTGATTTCAGTGCAATACTTTTCTACTGGAAAATAGAATAGTTAAAATATCAGCAAACCTAGTAGTCTTCACCTTCCCATTAGGTGAGATGAAGACAAACGCATGGAATGCTGTGTGCTTCAAGCACAAAATGATAAATTAGTGAAGTGGGGTAGGGGGAGAAAATGTCCCACAATTGTGACATTGCTTTGTAAATGTTACAGTTTAATTTGAAACTGCACTTTGGGTATGTAATTTAATTAATCCAAATGTTTGAACATATTACTTCAAAATTGAATCAAATTGAAGCAATTCAAATTTTAAACATTTACATCCACGATAATCCTAACTGCAAGGCCCTCTCTGGAAAATGAATCTTTACAAACTTGGGACTAAAGAGCAAATGCTGCCCTGGTTTATCATTTATCGCCAATCAATTTTGAAGTCACATATAGAGGGCCCAGCAGCATAGGACATCATTTTGACAGTTTTGAAAAATCAGTTGAGTCCCCACTCAAGTTTTCCAATGGTGTGTGGGAGGTTCGACTATTGTCTCTGCAAGAACAGATGAATTCTGCAACCTGAACAAGTGGGCTTAAAGACGTATGAGCCACCCTTCCGTCCATCCCCACCTGTGCCCTATTCTTTCCTTGTGTTTCCCCAGTGCTTTTTCAGCTATCTCCTTTGATGCAAACTGCACGAAGGCTTCCCCCGTGCTTCTCCCCTGGTAGTCCACCGGCAATGTTATCCCATTTGGCACGATTTCCAACCCTTCAACCCAAGGACAAATACCCCACAAGGGGAACAATATTAAAAATTGAAACATTCCTACTTATGCACATACTACAGCATATCAATATTGAGTACTGATATCAGAATTGACTAATGAGACGAACAGCTGCAGAATGCTCTTTAAATAAAGCAAAGATCCAACAAAAAAAACAAAAACAAAGGTCAGTTAAGCTTGCATATTTTTTAAAACCAATGCTTGTATAAAGAGGGGCAGGACAACATTGTTGCTTTAGCCAATGTTAGCAACATGCATTAAATTCTAAGAAATAATTAATCATGACCATAATCAGCAGGTTGCTGTGGTCATTCAAATTGGTTCACTTTTACACCTATAATGGAAACCAAAATGACAGTCAAACATTAAAACTTCAGTGGTACAACTAATTTTAAGGCATGATTAATTTGTCCTTGTTTTAGGCAACTCGAATTAGCGAACAAAGTTGACATACAACTACGCAGGTAACTACATTTCAATTCAGTTGTGTCACCAGGATTAAAAGTCTCTGGACACAAAATCCCAGCTTACGATTCCAATTGAGAGGTTAAGAGTCTCTCACTGTTTGTTAATGAAGAAAAACCAATTGCAATTTTATCCACTTCACACCAAAACTCAGGGCTGTATTTGCAAGCAGATGAATAAAGTCCCACTCGCTCTCCGTCTAGAGTCTATACAAATTGATGAAGGCTGAACAGAACCTTTTCAGTGTCACTCGCTGGCTGGTAACTGCCCATAATATCATCTGACATAATTATTCTGATTAACAGCCTACAATACTTTTGGTTTTAATAAATCAAGAAAGCAATTAATACGACAATTTTATAAATTCATAAATAAGCATGCAATTAAGGAATACATTGACTGCAGCAACTTCAACTATTTTTCCCTACGTAAACCTTGGTCTTAGTGATGGAATCCAGTCGTTGCGAAGAACTGTTTAAACGGTACAAATAGCAAAGAGCATAAGCTCCAGTATCACACTCAAACAAATCAGGATCCTTTTTGCTTTAGGTAATTAGCAATATGCAGCCTGTGCATTCACCAAGCAAACTCTGCATCAATACACCAATTTAGCATGGTCTTAAAATATAAGAGTCCATTTATATAACACGCTGCAAGTTACTGACTGTGAAGAAACCTTAAGGGTACCAAACCAGTTGCTGTCCCAAACAGCTAGGTGACTACATCATACCAAACTGAACTTTACTTAGTCCAATGAAGTCTGACTTTTCTACTGCTTTTAATTAGTCAAGACAGAGACATTTACTGCAACACAAATTCAAGTTAAATTGTCTACCTAACTCCTGATACAGGAAACCTATGGTAGATCCACAAGCATCAGCAGGCTGAACCCAACAGTCGCTGAATGTCACAACCCGGGGAAACTAGTATTTTTTTTAAACTGCTACTCCAGATTCTTATCTCATCCCAGCCAGTATCCTTACTTGCTCTCTCTGACCATTCAGATAGGATTAATGAGACAAGGACTGCATTTGCTCAGAGGTCCACACTGTGGTCAAAAATCTTGCCAACGCTCACCATGAAGCTTCATGCACGAGAATTAGCCTTGTAAACGCATACATGAAATTAACTTCATTTGGAGGTGCACGTGCAATTTTTGAAAAAAAATCAAAGACAAAGCATCGTAAGGGACTTTTTTTGAAACATTATAGTACAGGTTAATTAGATGAATAACGAGGGATTTTGTTCTGATTCCTGTAAACTTCTGGTCCAGTTATCAATTCTTCACAGCCAGTAACTGCAGTGAATTGTAGTGCTGAGACATCAGTAGCACAACTTAAAATCTTAACATTTTGTATACCAGTAGAAACTGTTACGGAAACAAAACAACCCAATTGAAAAGGGAGAGACACCAATTTTAGGGTTTCATCCCTTTTACGGGTAATCCCACTTTAAAGCATGAGAAGCCGAGGGCAGGCAGGCAGGCAACACAGCCATAAAGACAATGGCTAGAGCCGCAATAATCCAGGTCACAATTCCTCTGTATCTAAGAGGTGACCGGCCTCTGGTGAATACATCCCAACACTGGAAAACGTGGGTTTGGAAACTCCATTGGAATGGCAAGCACATGCCTGCATCCACCACTCCATGGTGCAACACAACAAATGCCAAATTACAGCATGACTGTATCGTCTGAACCCAAAAATTTAACTCTACTGTACACAAAAACGCTTAAGGAATAGTTTTGAATACCAGCACCACTGCTCAAACCAAAGTTATTATATTAGTATTATATACAATTATGAAATATTACTAGTGCTAAACTTGAGCTGACAAATTGACAAAAATTGAAAAATTGAAAAATTCTAAACCAATTTCGAGGTCTCACAATTGAATGGGTTAATTACTGCAGTTAACATTTCCCAATTAGTAACTGCACATGAAGTTACTGGAACACGATTCTAAACTATTCCTTCAAAAAAGTTGTCAAGGATGACGAATTTTGATATTACAGGCTCACAAGATTGGACTCAAGGATTATCTTATTTAGAACAAAAAGCCATTCTCATCATTAAAATGGAAAAACCAAAAGGGACTAATTTTAAGTCACAGGCCCAATGTACCTTTTAGAAAAAAGTTACAAAGTAAATATTTGCTAGCTTTGTGTCAGCAAAGGCAACCTACACCCCAAAGGTTCATCTTAAAACACTAGATTAGTTTGGTAACTTGGTGCAACAAGCTTTGCCGGGACCATGGAGCTAACTAGTGATCCTTGCCCAAAACTGCAATCAAAACCCCCACCAACACACTATTTTCTTCAGTGATGTTGAAAACAGTGGCATTTCTTAATTACCAAAGTTACCTTTATTCTAAGTCACGATGCTAAGCTTTAAAACAAACATTTTAACCACTGTTTTTGTTAATAAGCATTTTTTGGAACAAAAAACCCTTGTGCCCAATGCTATGTGCCACTCTACTAAGTCACAAGATCACAATTTAGCTATCTCACCCCTTCATCTACAGAAAATAGAAATAAAACAGCTGTGTACACAAACACAGAACACAAACAGCCATTGGACAGGCTACCCAAAATGTTCCCAAATCCATTGTTAAATAAAGTAAATCGACATTACTTACTGCCCCCTACCCACATCAGACCCACAAGCCCAAATACTTGGTTCCAGTATTGGAGAAAGTAACAAATTAAGATGTACCTGTGAAAAACTGCAAAATTTCCTCTTTACTGCAGCCAAAGGGCAAGCCCCTGAGGCGCACTGTTCCATCGCTCGTGGACTCAGTTTGGTTTGGGTTAGCATGTTTTAGCGCCCAGTCCATTTCAGAGGCTTTAGTTTCAAACACTGTAAACACAAGTTACAAACACTAACAAAAACGAACATGTTGCAGGTTTGTCTGTCAAATACCGAAAGAGGACAACATGGACAAAGTCACTCCCCATGCCATGCACTGCAATATTATTTTCTGAATACCACATCTGACGGATGACTTCACAAAAGAAAATTAAAATTGCACCTGTCTGCATTTTTCAACACTGTCCCAGCTACTCAAATTTTCTGCATTAATATTACTAACAAGAAAGATGTTTAGCAGACCACTGCTCTTTTTTGAGAGTTTAGACACCTATAATGTTCCCTGTTCACCCTTACAGTTTAACAGAAGCAAAATACAGGAAATCTGAAATAAACACAATGGGATGGATTAATTCATGAAGTCTGGCAGCATCTGTGGAGTTCACTTTACTGGGTCCTGGAGCTACACTGAAAACATTATCTGTCTCGGTCTCCTGAGATGCAGTCAGGACTGGGTTCCTCCAGCACTTTGTGAGTATTGCCTTAACAGTCTCTTGCTTATTGATATACTCTGCAAAGCCCACATGTTAGGACACGGTCATGAGGAGTGAAAACCATACCCCACCACAAACTTCAGCTAATTCGATTAAGCGCCTGAAGTTGTTTATGGCTGTTTCAGTCATGGCGTACTCAACAAACTTTCCAACACAAGGACCAATAGCAAAACACTACAAAGCAAGAGCATTCACGCGCAAAATTTCAGCTCTCACCATTCACTATGTCTTGGGCCAGAATAAGATGTGAGTCTCCGCAGCGAAAGGCTTGCTAATTATTTGAAGTATGCAAGCAGAGGTCTATAGCATTGAGCAGTTTTCAGACTTGGAAGCTACGTAGAATTCAGTACAAAGATGACAGTTTGAAGCATAAATCTGGAACTGATGCTAATCAGGAGGGTGGAAGAGAGGAATGCATGAAGAAACATCCTCAAAAAGTTAATGTACTCCCCCAGAAGTGAAATGCTCAGTGCTCCTTACATAAAAAAAAGCTGTTGCTTTCAGTTCTTCCTCTTCTAACTGTGCACTCCCCCCCGCCCACCCCAAAACTACAAGATACAAAAACCTGCTACATAAAACCAAACAAACGCCTCTGTCACACCGAGTGATGGTTTGAAATGTCACGCACCTTCGATGTATCGATGGCCCATGCTTTCCCGGTCTTTTGCAAGGGCACGTTTTACATCTTCCTCACTTTCCAGCTGAACAAAGGCTTCACCACTTGGGCGGCCTTCTCTTAAATAGGTGAAGTGTATTCCAGCAGTTCCATTTAATATCTTGCAATCTAAAAGCAGCACACATGACAAACTGATTTTTTCTTGTACTAATTAGTAACGTGGGGTGGGGTGGGAGGCATGGGAAGCAGGACAAGATTTAAAAATAGCAAAGGCATTGGTGAACAGAAATGTTAAAATGGTACAAGGCACCGTCTTAAATGCACGTCAAAACTTAAAATGTCAGTTTCCAGCAAACCAAATCATTAACTTCAGCATCTCCAACTGCATATTTCACGCTACAAAACACAGCAAAAATCTTCCAAAACAAATATAGTACATGTTCATAGACTCCTGATCTCCCAGCAGAAGGCAAACAAAAATGATTCGAATTTTCAACTTTTCAAACACTGTTTCAATTACCACGGACAAGCAGCAGGGCAGGCTCTAGTTCCGTTCTGAATTTGGGTATTTAATTCAATGACACCCAAGACATCGGAACCAGTTCAAATTCCGCTCAGTTTGCATACACAACAACACTGATTTGATAAAGTGTCAACCGATAGTCATTTACAAAGATGACAGTCGAGGGAAGACTGCATGAGCATTGACCGGTGACATTAACCAAACGGAACAAAGTGGAAAAAGTAACATCCCTTATTCCCAAACCGCTAAAAAGATGATAAATTGTTCTATGACACCACCATTATAGATTTTAAATGCAGTCACTGGGGCTGATCACTCAAGCTATGAAAATGACAAGTCATTAGTCTCTATTAAAAAATATGGACTGTCAAAATATAACAAAGGATCAGATTCACAGAATAGGGCAGAGCTCCCTTGCTTGAGTAAACAATAGATAACAGACAGCCACTGATAAACTGAATATGAAATTCAGGAAAACATCTTAACCAAACAGAGGCTATATACAATATATTAAAAAAAAATTAGTAAAACAGCAGCTTCCATGGTATTTTCCACCACAAGAGTTTTCCCTAGGCATGGCTGCAACCTTTGACAAATTCAGGTTTAACATTAATCTCAGTTCCAATGATATTCCCAACAAAATAAAGAACATGTTTAAAAAAAAAAATCCAGCAATTAAAGTGTGAACAAATAGTGCCACAACAGTTCTTCTCAGGCACATAACAATACGGTGCCTAGAGACAAAAAAAAACTGCTTAACACACTTCAGAAAAAACAATTACATGAAGTTTATAAAAGAAACCAAGTTTATCCATTAACTCCTGACTCTCAGATTCAGGAGGTAGCTGTAACTGACTCGTGCCATTCTGTACTACTTCTGAAATTGATTCCCTAAACGTAAGGCTTGCATCTTTTAATTCACAACTTCAAAATTCTACTTTTCCTTAAAGCCTTATCATTCAGATGAATTCACAAAACCTGAAAAGAAGCGTAACACTTCATCAGCAGTGCAAGACCACGGAAGTCCACGGACACGGACAACAAAATCTTCATCCATCGTAATTGTCTGTAACACAGATCTCTCCACAAGAAAGCCTGAAAACAAGACAAATCGATCAATCACAAAGAGACTCGAGTGCAATACAAGAGGATTTTATCTTTTCAACTCATGAATATTCAGTTGTAACATCTGCTCACACCACAAATCTTAAATATGCACGCTTAAAAATTTTCAGAGAAAGCATTTACACAAGACATGGAAAAAAGCTACCCTGACAACACTTGATCCTACCACCTAATCAACAAGGAAAACTTTCTAGCAACCACAAACATAATACATTACAACCAACTTATCTTGTAAACGGTAGTAATTCACAAGCTTAATGCAATGGCCTAGTGGTATTACTGCTAGACTGTTAATCCAAAAACTCATCTAATGTTCTTGTAAGCCAAATCAAATTCCTCCAGGGCAAATGGTGGAATTTGAATTCAATGAAGAATCTGAAATTGAGGGTTTTTTCCACTGGAATGTAAGAGGTCAAGTGGTGACCTTATAAACCTTATATAAAATCATGAGGGATATAAGTAAAGTGAATGGCAGATGTTTCTTCCCTTGGGTAGGGGAGTTCAAAACTGGGGGCATACTTTTAAGGTGAAGGGAGAAAGATTTAAAAACAACACGAGTCTTTTTGTTTACAAACGCACAAGTGTGGCTCTTGTGTGGAATAAACCTTCAGAGGAAGTGGTGGATGTAGATACACTTACAATGTCTAAAAGACATTTGGATAAGTACACGAATAAGAAATCCTTGGACAGACCATGGCTCAAGCGCAGGCAGGGGTAGTTTTATTTGAGACTATCGTCAGAATGGCCTGGTTGGACGTTTCCATGCTGTACGATGGCCGTGAAATCATGGTTTATCTGATGATCGACGTATCTGGTCCACCTTTAGGGAAGGACACCTGTCATTCGTGTCTGGCATACACGTTACTCCAGACCCACAGCAATAGCCCTCAGTTCATTGATAGTTCGGGATGGGCAGTAAATGCCGACCTAACCAGAGAAGCCCACATCTCATGAGCGAATGAGAAAAAAAAAATCTTAATATCTACAGCCAAATTCACTCAGTAAACGAAAAACAACTGGCCTTCCAAAAAGTGACAAGATCCAAAAGCAACAACTAACACCGAACTGCGATTCCAGGTAGAGGGAAAAGGTCCAAGTAGCTTTTTCTGCGTGACCTTATCGGGAATTCTGACGTGCATTTGTTGGGGAGTCTCAAATCATTGCGTTTGCCCCAAATCATTAACTTCACCAACCCTGATAACACTGGGTACTAAGAGACCGCGTGTAACCCATGTAGGGCAAGGGAAGATACCCCATCGCCCACTCCGGGAAAGAACAAGGAACAAAAAGAAAACATGCTGAACACATCTGGAGCCATCTCTAGATGGAGAAACTAGAGTTAATACCGAGTCCAAGAGTACCTCTGAAAGCGGACTGGTGGCAAGCCCGGGAGGGAAAGCTGGGGGGTGGGGTGGCAAACACCAGCTAGAAAACCATCGCGAATGCAAAAAGAACGAGCTGGGGCACCCCGGTTCAGCCAACCGGGCTACCATCAAAGCTCGAGTCTGAGCACGGATGAGATTTAGTTATTTTTCCCTTCAACCACGGACAAAGATCGAAATAAAGATAAAACGCCCGCCATTCCCGTCTTCAAAAGTAAATAAAAGTCGAACGAAAATAACTCGAGAACCAAACAGCGCCAAAAACCGCCACCTGCGTCCATTACAAAACAAACGGACCCCCTCAACGAACGCGATTAAAATGGCGGCCGCGCTTCACAACGGCCTCGTGTTCCAATATCACCACCACACCCGACCCGTCCTCCCCCACCCCGCCTTTCTTCTACACTCTTGAAGTATCAACTCCCATGATAAAGTATGATGTGGCGTACGCAATAATTTCAAGAACGAAACGCCTGAAGACTAGTCGGATATTTGGCGGTGGGTAGACAATGAAGTGACGATCAGAACTGAAGCGATCCTTTTCTCTCCCTCTCTTTCTTTACCTGCGACTCGCCTCAACAGCACGACAGCGCCTACTAACGTCATCCGCCGGAAACAAACGGAATTGTGCCGTCAAACCCCTCCCCCCTCGCCTTCATGAACATTTACAACTTTCCAGAGAATCATTCATACCCACCCAGTGAACGATAGACAAAAAGAAACAAACAAGGACGGTGGTCGTCTTGACTTTTTTTTTAGGAAAAATTGGTTTGTTGCCAACCATTTATTTAAAAAACTGCAGCAGCCCATGCCGATTGGTTACAGCAACCGAGACCTCGGCCCGCCATTCGCTCCTCCGCACGTCAATTAAATTTCACGGTTTCTTTTGTCATATGAATGAAAATACATTTCTTGCCTTACTGAGTTTGAAATCAAGATCGTGCAGATGAATAGAACTGAGTTTTCTGTTAACGGCATGGGGGGTGGTTTTTTCTAACGGTCGTCCCGCCCTTTGTCACCGATCATTGGTTTATAGAACACACCGGCCGTTAGGGGGCAGTGATCCTGACGTTGATTGGTCGATTCCACTGTCAATCATTTAGCCTGATTTGCATGATGTCGCGGTGAGGTCGTCCTCGCGAGGTTTCGCTGTCTGGGGAAGGAGAGTGAAGTTTTTTTTCAGTTCGGTAGTTGTCGGTTCCAACAATTTTTCTCCGAAAAGTAGCCGGGACTGTGATGTCTTTCCGGATTATTATTTAACCCGACGCTTCTTTTTCTGAGTGGTTTAAATTAGAAGAAAATGAGCTTCCTTTTGTGAGTATTGCGCGGGTGACGAGCCATAATCTGGCCCAGCTCGACCATTCTTCCTGTTTTCGGTTCTACCTTTCTGGAAACTTTGGGCCTTGTAGGCCTCGGGTTTCCTTCCTCTTCTCTTTCTTTATCCCCTTCCCCCGTCTTTTCATCTCTGTCGTAATTAAACCGATTGCCTTTTCTTTTCCGTCCCACGCCGTTGTCCACTCAGGTAATCTGATTAATATCTGATACTGGGTTGGAGGTTTTCCTGTTGAAACGTAATAAGCCTTTCTTAAAAAATAGGTGAGGATATAATTATTTGAGCCAACTGCCCAACAATGGGAGCCTTTGATATACTTGTTACATTGTCAGCTCATATTGTCTGCAATCGGAGGTGCTGGGCATGGACATGGACGTTGACTATGCAGACAACTTCCTAAGACACTCATTTTTACCAAAACACAGGTATGTGTTTTTGAAGACATGGAGCCTCTGAAGGCTGGGTTTTGGTTTTGTTTCAGCATGGTGCAACTTAGTCAAGTTCCTTCAATTTGCCTTTGCTGCAAGTATTATACTTATGTTTTCTGATGGACATTACTTGCCAACTGAGAGCATCTTGATCTCTTTGTTTTGCCATCATCAAGGCAAGTAATTTTTTGGGCATTAATATAATTGTGTACAGCCATGGTGTGCTTGTTATCATTAAGTGTTATGATTTCAGTCTTCAGTGATTCGTTTTCATCTGAACCAAATTGTGTGGCTTCATCTTTCTCAGATGACCCATTGTGAAGTCATTATTCTTGATTATCTCAACATCAGTTGTGCAGAGATAACAGTGTCGAGCTGGAGGAACATAGCAGGCTAGGCAGCATCAGAGGAGTAGGAAAGTTGACGTTTCAGTTCAGGACCCTTCTTCATTTTCTGAAGAAAGGTCCTGACTCGAAACATCTACTTTCCTACTCCTCTGATGCTGCCTGGCCTGCTGTGTTCCTCCAGCTCCGTGCTGTGTTATCTCTGACTCCAGCATCGGCAGTTCTTACTATCTCAGAATGAGTTGTGCAGAGTTTTGTTATTTTTTTTCTTCTTTATTTCGTGGGGAATGGTTGTCAAAATCATACTTGATTCCCAGCTTAATTGCCCTTCAAATGAAGGGCCTTTGAGGTCAGTAGTTGAGAAATGTGTGACTGTAAGTCTCAAGTCTCTTGTAGGCCAGAGCAGATAAGGATCGCAGATTGACTTAAACAGTAATTGTGAAACAGATGGATTTTAATGATATTTGGAGGCTGTTTCATTTGTAATGACCTGTCCGTCCTCCCTGGACTGACCTATCCCCTTCCTAACTCCCTACCTACACTCACCTTTCCTGGCCCCATCCCCGCCTCTTCGACCTGTTTGTATCCTCTCCTCTATCCCTCTTCTATCCGCCTCCCACTCTCTCCCTATTTATTTCAAAACCCCCTTCCCCTCCCCCTTTTCTGATGAAGGGTCTAGGCCCGAAACGTCAGCCTCTCTGCTCCTATGATGCTGCTTGGCCTGCTGTGTTCATCCAGCCCTGCACCTTGTTGTCTCGGATTCTCCAGCATCTGCAGTTCCTACTATCTCTGATAAAGACCAGACCACTTGTCTGGGCCTCTGGGTTACCAGCACCTGGTACAGCCAGGCAAAAGAAACTTCTGTGGCCTCATTTTTTTTTTTTGAAAGCAGTCTCACACCTGAGATAGAGAGATGACCAGGCAGGGTAAAACTGAAGCATGCATCTTGTCCAAAACTCAACTGTCGTGTTTGCTCTTTAATCTTCAAGCCAAAGAGTAACCTTGCACTCAAGATGATGAGCCTGGTTATCTGTCTTTCTAAGGATGAGCATGATAATCGACATAAAAGTCAATTGCAGAGAATTCTGTGAATTTCAAGGACAATGTAGCTTGTTATTTTTCTTTATTTATTTCTCTTGACAGCAGCGGATTCTTCTGTGGTATTGTTCTCCCTCTTCTGTTTACCTAAAAGCAGAAGCTCAAGTGTGGTGACATGCTTTGCCGTTCACTCAGTTCTATACCATTCAAATTCTAGCAACTGTCAGTTTACTATTCACTTATTCATAGACTTGCGGACAGCTCTTAACAGACTTGAGATTGTATGGCTTGGTAAACCTTGTATCATATGATGTACATCAGTGAATTTGTACTTATGTCATTATAGTCCTACTGGATCATAGGGCTGCTGTTCTTGTTAGAGAGATGACTGGTGATGATTTAACCTGAGTGTCACCGTGGCTTAAACAGAGGGAGAGGTTGAGAAGCAGAGCCCTTCATGATATCCTCACCTGGTGAGGGAATGGAACCAATGAGAACAAATAAGGAATTTTGACTCCTGTATGGCATAGTATTCAAGTACATAATGTTACAATTAAGTGATTCTTGTTGACAAGCAAGAACTTCTGAATCCAATGTATATTTCTTCTAACCCCAGGAGTCATGAGGCAAATGTCATTTTCCAATAGCTGATTAAGGCATTAATTATTGGTTGGTTAAGCAAAGGTTTTACCGCGTTTTTGTTGAACTGTTTCCTGGCGGAGAACTGCTGAGTACTGTATTCAAGTTTGTGTCGCTTCTCCTTGGTGTTGTTCCACTAAATTATGAAATTGTGTATCTCGCTATGCATGGGCAGGTCGTTGCTTCTTTGCAGCCGAAGTGTGAAAATAATACTCATTACTTGCAACCTTTGTTGGACCATTGAAATATGTGGCACTGATGTAATTATAAGGTAGTAGCTGTTCTACAATTTGGGGTATGCATCATCCAGTTAGTGGAACATCACTGCCCATTTTAGTAAATGTTATATTTACTTGAGCTGCATGTATTTTCAAGGGCTATCTTCTTTGCTTTATATCTGCACACCTTTTTTTAAAATGCCCCTTTCTGAGTGGATTCAGTTGATGGGACCAGTAGAGATGCTGCTTCACTGCCAGGGTGCGGCTGTTTTGGAAGGAACTTTTTGCCACTCTTGGAGTGAAGAATATGAAACTAAATATCACGAGTATTGTTCGAACCAAACAGCTTGGTTGAAGGTGGACCAGTATTTTAAGGGTGAATGGCATAAAAGGTTAAAGGGGTAGCTTTGAATGAGGAAAGATTGTGTGACTCAAGTGGAACCTAAGTACTGACTTGGACTGTTTGCGTTGAATGTCTGTTTCTTGACATTGTATAAACTCTGTAAAAGAATACATGAGGATGATATGTGTACTTGCAGACATGATCATCTCACTGTTTCAATGGGACTTTTGGCTCCTTTGGAAGTGTGTCGAATTTTTTTCAACCAGTTTTTGAAGGCACCAACTTGAGTAAGAGTGGACTGCCTGCTCAGTGTCAAATCAGTTTAGATTTCCAAGTTATCTCTTGTCATAAGTTCCTGTTTACATAGTTGCTTTTTTCAAAGCTAATATTGCAACAAGCGACAGTGGGATGGTCACAATGAACCATTCATGAATTCGTTGATATGTTGTGATTTGGGTTGAAAGGCATTAAGCGTGACCATCAGGTTCACATTTCTCCCGTGAATTGCCTGTCTCTTTTGTGGCATTTGATGTTAGTTTACAGCTATACATTTGGCACAGTTTGTGACACTTGAATGAAGTGACTAATCATGTTGGTCAAATGATTGTCAAGTAGGGTTCACATTTTCAGAAATGAATCTCAGGAATTTAAATACTTTTTTTTTTAGTTATTTTGTGGGACATTTAATGCCAGTCTGTATGTGCCCTTAAGGTGATAGTGAACTGCTGCAGTCCATGTGCTGCAGGTAGACCCACAATGCCCTTGGGGGGGAATTTCCAGGATTTTGATCCAATGACCCTGAAGGAGCAGCAGTGTATTTTCAAGACAGGATGGTGAATAGCTGGGAGGCGAACTTGCAGATAGTGGTGGTCCCATATATCTGCTGTCTGGGTCCTAGACGATAGAAGTCATGAGTTTGGAAGGTGCTGTCCAAGGACCTGAGAATTTCTGCAGTGTACACCCTGCTGTTGAGTGTTGTTGGTGCAGAGAATGAATGACACCGCATGCACAAACAATCAAGCTGCTTTGTCCTGAATGGTGTCAAGCATCTTGAATGTTGTTCGAACTGCACTCATCCAGACAAGTGCAAAGTATTCCACCATACTTCTGACATGTGCCTTTTGTAGATAAGTGAAAGTTTTTTACTTGTCAGGTTTGTGAACTTGTATACGCTGCTGATAAAATCGCAGGAGCCTTTAAATAGAGTTTAAAGCTTGCCTGCAGTCAACTGATCTCTTCTGGGAAAAGCGAGAATTCCATTTTCTCACTGACAACCACCCTCCACCCCTAAAAAAACCTTTATTTGATATAAAGAATCACTGGTGATGAATGGTTTACTTGCATTTCAGTGGGGTTCGAAATAACAGAACTTTCAAACCGAAGAAGAATATTCCGGAAGGTTCCCATCAATACGAGCTGCTAAAGCATGCTGAAGCAACTTTGGGAAGTGGTAACCTTCGTCAAGCTGTTATGTTACCAGAAGGCGAGGATCTAAATGAATGGATTGCTGTCAATAGTAAGTGTTTGCAACTTGAATTTTACCTGTCTGTCTGTCCGTTGCAAATATTTTCTAATGTAAATCTAGAGATATTATTGCACATCTGTGGTCCACGTGGGAGTTGAACCCTAATCTCATGACTGAGAGGTAAGGTCACTGTAGTTGCACCATGAGATCTCCTGGCCTACCTTTTCATTCATATCGTTTACCCCATTAAGCTGCCTGGGCCCTAAACTCTGGAATGCACTTGCTAAAGCTCTTTCTCAGGCTTTCATTAAAACCTATCACTTTGAAAATTTTCCTTACAGCTTTATTTTCCTTAAGCAGCTGGGTGTCAACTTCTCTTGTGAAGTATTTTGCAGTCATTGGACTATGTTAGCTACTTGTAAACAGACGGCATCTTTGTTTTCTACCTTATTGTTTCCTGTATATGGCTTAAACATTGCAATCAAGATATATTTGTGCAAACACGTGACTCTTTTTCGAAAAGGCTGTAAGAAAAAATGTGATGAAGGTGCAGTTAAACATCATGAATACAGTTACAAAACTGAGACTTCCAAAACCCCTTGCTTGTTGTTTCTTTTTATAAGCGTTTGTGCAATTCAAATCATACTTTACTATTTTTTAATGGCAGTCACCCATTTTTTCCTGTTCTGAGCAATCCTTTTGAGGTCCTTTGTCTGTATTCTATATTTATTTTCCATTCCTCAGTTTCCCTTTTGAAAAAAATATTTGTTTAATTGTTTTGGAAGAGTAAATTTGTTTCCTTGAAGTAAGGGACAAAATCTTCAGTCCCCAGATTGTTGGAGACCAGAGGTATGGCTGCAGATGTGTGTCAAGCCCCTGCAGAAGTACTCGTGTGAATCCACGTGGGAATTTTATGGGAAGTTTTATCTCGTGATGACACATTCTAATGTTTCCTGGGTCCCTCTGTGAAAATCTCTTAATCTGAGCTAAAGTGGAAGACTTGAGAAGTTTGATGTTAGTTAACTGTGTAGTTTCTCAAGAATTGTCAGACCATTTTGAATCTTGTCTAATTCCTGAAGTAGCCAACTTCAGAAGTGACCCAACTTGGCTCCCCCACCCTTTCTTCTTCTCCTCCTCTCCAACAGCCCTCCCCACCTTCATCAACCATCATCACCAGCAGTCACACAAATTGCTGGTATTTATGACTTGACTACCTGATTTTAATTGGTAATTGTTCTATTAATAGGTATTTATTGTGACTGGTTCATTTATTTTCAGCTGTCGACTTCTTCAACCAAATCAACATGCTGTATGGAACAATAACAGAGTTTTGTACAGAACAAAGCTGTCCTGTGATGTCAGCAGGACCAAGGTAGGAAAGATCCTATACACACAGAACAAGCGAGGGCTTCAGAGAAATGGCCAGATAAAAGAAGTTTGACAGTGACAACATGCTAGAAGTATCTGTTAGATGACAACATGCTTCCAGCTGTCTTGATGAAATGCTTTGCGAGCCCAAACCTGTCTTTCAATTAAGTGACTAAAAATGAATGAGGTGTCACCATGAAGACTTAAAATTTACATCTAGATATTCAAAAATCTTGTTGTAAAATAAGCAAGATTGTTGTAATTAATTTACCTCAAATCTTCAATTCCGAAACACATAGTTGACATTTATTGGCCTACTCCTGCTTCACCTTCATTATCAGTCAGGTACCGAACAAACTTCAATCTTAAAATAGCTGCACTAGAGACCAGGAACATGCTTTTTATTTGACAGTTCCTTCCTTCCTTTCTCTTTGTCCAGTTTCCTCCAAAGAACTTCGCTGCGATGTTTTGATCTTGTGATGAGGTTGGATGGTCTCTGTCCATTGCTCAACTTAAGTTACAACAAAACATGATCCCAGTTAATCTTGGGGCTAACTACACTGAATGGCCATCTAGGTTCAAACTGTAGGGATTTCTCATTGTTCAGCAGTCTGCATTGATTGGATTTGCAGACTTCAGTGCTCCTGTTTTCTATCTGTGCCTATTTAGTCAGAACAGCATAAAACACAGGAACTTGCACTTTCAAGCCCCTGTGAAGTAACTCTTTTTTGAGTTTCGGTGAACTGATGTAAGTTCTTATCTTAATTTATACAGTGATTCTTTCTGAACAAATTGCACTGTCTCTACCGCGAACGCAAAAAGACCATTCCTTCATGATCTCCATTAACATTTTGTCATTCGTGTGGCATCAAAGGTCATTTGCAGAACAATGTTCTGAACTTGCACCAAATGTATACAAACTTTTTGCTAATGTTAGTCCTTCAAGTATGGCTTTAATTTTGAGATCATGCCGTACCCATGCACTTTTCTTCCTAATCAGTGGTAACAGTTTGTCCGCACATATTTCCTCTTTTGTTCTCCCTCCTACTTATCAACTTTGATCAAATCATTGTGTTAGCCTTCTAAACTCAAGGGAATATAATCAGTTTTTTAATGTCTCCTTGTAATTTCACCCTTGGCGTTCTGGCATAAATCTTGGAAACCTATGCCGTCATCTCCAACTCCAGAACATCTTTCGCAGAATATGGCGTCCAGAACTGATTACAGGGCTTGATCTTCTGTCTTCATCACCCAAGATAGTTTGCCCATGAGCGAAAGACCTACAATACTTGTATTTCATGGGTGCAATCACTTCAACATTTTGGATTTGGAACATACTCCTCAAACGCTTGGTTGTTAAATTGGTAATCTCTGGAGGAGAACTGCTCAAATATGGTCTTATTCTTATGTGTAGTTGTAATACTGCTCAGCTTTCTGTCCATGATGTCTAAAAATTTATTATATAAAGGGTTTAAAGTAAAAGCATATGTCTACAAAAATCATACATTTAAGTATCCATAACAAAAGCATCTGTTAATTAAGCTCGGTCGCATTTTTAATTGTAACTTTTAACCTGAGGAATGAATAAAAGGTGGTAAATTGGATTTAATCTTGAACAAGAACAAAATCATGAAAACGCTTAAGTTAACAAGGAGTTGGGTAATATGTTGCCAGTGAGTTGTTCGGCATGGAGGTCATCTTGATTCAAATGAGGAATTTTATTTCTCTGTATTGCTGACTTGATTCCATGTTGGATGGTAAGGTTTTTGAGTTTTCATGAGAGAAGCTGACTTTAAAAAACAAATTCTACGCGAGTCTTGATTTTATATTCAACAACCCTGTTATGAAGGTCGTGTGGAAACCAGGGTCTTGACTTTCCAATCAGATTTTAGTGGTCTCATCTGCAAACAGTATCGATCTGCACTTTGAAATTAGTTTAGATCTGTTTTTAGCTCCCAATTTTGAAACCATTCTTTGAGAACGATGTGATTGCGCAAGAAGAGATGCAGAGGAGATTGACCACATCTTATGTGGTTTGGAGCATTTCTGCTATAAATGAAGAATTGATATGCTCGGGTTGTTTTCCTTTGAGCAGCGAAAGCTGAGGGTGGACCTGATTGAGGTCTACAAGATTAAGGGGCTTCGATAAGGGTAGATAGGATAAAAATGTCCCCCTTCGTAGTATAATCAACAGTCAGGGTGCATAGATTTAAGGTAAAGGCTGGGAGGTTCAGAGGCATTTAAAGAATTCTTTTCTTCCCAAAGGGTGATGGGGATCATGAACTCAGTTCTCTGAAGAGCGGCAGAGGCGTGAGCCATCACTACATGCAATTATTTGCGTGATCTCTTGGACCACAATAGCATACAAGGCTGTGGCTCAAGTACTGGAAAATGGGACTGTGGTGGGCAAGTGTTTAGTGATTGGGAAGTCAACAAGCCAAAGGACATATTTCAGTGGTGTCAAAATTTGATTTTAATGTTGCATGGGGCTTGAGATGCAACTTAGAAGTATGCATTCAGAGAGCAAATTTTTAATTCTATTTCATGAGCTATTTGTGGACTGTGAGACATGGCAGAGATCTGTCCACAAACATCGATTGCACAAACAGTCCCATAGCTTTTCAATGATTTCATGTTAATACAGGGTGCTGTTGTTTCATCATGTATAAGGAATACATGTTCACACTTGTAGCTTACATTTTTATTATGCTCCAGCAAAAGAGTTTAGAGTTGTGTAGACTGTTTTTTTTCATTTGGTAAGTACAATGTGTAATTATAAAGAAGGCAAAAGCATTTTTGGCCATTTTAATCATGATTGCATTAGTTTTACACTTCGTTGTATCTGGATCTGCTTTTTTTTGCCCCTTGCATCTATGCCCTTCTCCTTTGGGACTTTGATTCCATTGACTCGGATTTGAAAGTTGTGGTCCTTTGATTTATTGATAGCTCCCTCTTATATTCTTCCCCTAATACATGTTCCTAGACATTAAAATTCATAGTTGAACACCTTGCATTTCAACAGGTAACAATGTCGTATGTCAGAGGTTGGTTTGAAATTAAAACCAAATGAATATAACACAGATTCACCTAAAAAAAAAAATGAAACTTCGCAACGCTTATACAAGGTTGAAACGACTTTAAATGATACATTAGCTGTTCACATTTTAAGTCATCCTCAATTTGAGCTCATTTCTCCTCTTGCTTTGATTCCACTACTTGTTTCTCTCATTCTTTCTTCCTACAAGAACAAAAGTGTCTCCATTACAGAACGCAGTTGGGAGTAAATAGCTGAGGTAAACAGAGGGAGTAATTGAAAAGAGAGTTGAATATTTCAAAGTAGTACGTCATAGTTCGGTTGATCATCTGATTGTCTTGTGCTGTGTGATTCTTATTGTTTTCCTACCTTTCTTTTCTTACAATCACAATTGTTAAATGCTTTGGCAAGCTCTAAGTGTTGTGCAATGTTTCAAGTATCGATTGAATAGATGTAAATGGAAGATGTATGCAGTGTTTAATTTCTTGCCATCTTTATTACCACTGAGGATATTTGTTACAGATATGAATACCATTGGGCTGATGGCACAAACATTAAAAAACCAATTAAGTGTTCTGCTCCAAAATACATTGATTACCTGATGACATGGGTACAGGACCAGCTTGATGATGAGACCCTCTTTCCTTCGAAAATAGGTGAGCCGTTTTGTTTCAGCCACTTAGGAAAAGCAAGCAATGCATTCTCATTGACATAAGCAATGATCAATCGGTAGTACCAGAAGACGGTTTTAATTTTTTGGTTGGCACTACACTTGCACTCTTGTGCTACAATTAGCCACATTTCTGACATATCTCTTCTCCATCCCCACTCCCCTCCCTGGAGTGTGAAGCAGCTCTTCGAATTATGATTAGAAACTACAATTGTTTCATTCCATTGTCCTTACAAATAGGATCATATCAGATTACTAAAAAGCAAAGCTTCTATCTGATTGATTAAATTCTCCTTGTTTGAATGTATGAGTTTGAAGTTGAAAGTGGTTAACTTGACATCTAGAACTGCAAGAGAAAACTTCTTTCTTTGGTCTGGTTCAGTTCTTCTCCCTGTTCACCCATGAACTGCATTTTGTGTTCAAGTTATGGTGCCTCTTGAAGTTGATTTTTGGCATTAACTGTGAAAATGCATAGATCATTTTTAAAGCCTGAATCATTTAAGCTTTTCCAAGCTATAATTCATGATAACTTTGTTTCATTCCAGGAGTGCCGTTTCCTAAAAATTTCATGTCTGTGGCCAAGACCATTCTGAAGCGGCTGTTCAGAGTCTACGCTCATATTTATCACCAGCATTTTGACTCTGTGATGCAGCTTCAGGAAGAGGCCCATCTTAATACTTCCTTCAAGCACTTCATATTTTTTGTTCAGGTAGTATGTTCTGCATCACTTTTCAGTGCACCCTTTATGTTGATGGCATCACAAATTTAAATTTTAATGTGTATTAACATTTCATCTGCCGTGTATATAATTTAGTCAGCAGTTTGAGCAGAGCTTAATATCATGCAGATTGCACAAGTTGAGGGAGCATAACGTCATGATGAATTCCAGAATAAACTTCAGATCTAGAATCTGTACGCCTCCAGGTTTCTTTGTCCAGTGTTGCAGGGGCTCTTCACGTTCACCTTTTCTATGCTCTGTAACCATCTTGTTTATTTCTCCCCAACTGTATGAAGATCTGCATTGAACTTGTTGAATTTCAGAACACTTGCAATACAGATCTAACGTTGAGTCAGAATGCTGATGCCTTTAATGGTGTTCGTCATTATGTTCTTGTGTCCAATTACTGTTATGTTATATAACTCGATAGATGTCAACTGAAAAATAGTCCTTTTCTGGGATCAATGGAGCCAAAAATCAACTTGTGCATGATGACTGTAGGAAGGTTTCTATTTCCTCGAGGTGATGAGTTTGTTTCTATTTCAATGTGTGCACACACACTACCAGCTTTAACATTCGATGCAGTTATATGTCATTTCTACACTGAATTATCCCAGAAATACACAGGATAGGAGCTCTAGTCAGCCATTCAGCCTTTAAAGCCTGCTTTATCATTCGTTATAATCATGGCTGATCATCCAAATCAATAGCCTGTACCTGCTTTTCTACTCACATCCTTCGATGTCTTTAGCCCCAAGTGCTTTATCCGAATCTTTGAAATTGTACAGTGCTTTGGCCTCGACAATTTTCTGTGGTAGCGAATACAATGACTCCCCACTCTCTGGATGAAGAAATTTCTCAACTTGCTCTTCAATTTCCCACCAGCTGCAATCGTTGGGAACATCCTTCCTGCATCTGCACTGTGCAGTCCTTTGAGCATTTTATCATTTTCTGTGAGATCTACCCCCGAATCATTATTCTGAAGCAAATATAATCCTACCCAATTCAATCTGTCCTCACACCTCAGTCCTGCCGTCCAAGCAATGAGTCTGTTAAACCTTTGGTGCCATCCATCTACGGTAAGAATATCCTTTATCAGATCATGAGACCAAAACTGTGCACAATATTCCAGATGTGGTCTCACCAAGGTCCTGTACAATTATAGTACAATTTCACTGCTCCAGTACTCAAATCCTCTTGTTTTGAAATGCAACATAGCATTTGCCACCTTGACCGCCTGTTGGTCCTGCTTGTTTGCCTTCAGTGACTAGTGTATGAGGACATCCAGTTCTCAAAGCACGTTCCCTCAAATCAGTTTCAAGCGATTCAAATAATAATGCACCTTGCTGTTTTGTTCTCCCAATGTGGATAACCTCACATTTATCCACATTAAAATGCATCCTCGTCACAACTCCCCCTCGCACCCAGCTTTGTGTCTTTGGAGAGAGTACATTTAGTTCCCTCTTATAAATATTAATATATATTCTGAATAGCGGTGTCTCAGCACTGATCCCTGCAATAGCCCACAAGTCACTGCCTGGCATTTTGAAAAGACCTGTTTATTTTTCCTCTTTTTGTTTCCTATCTACCAACCAGTTTTCGAGCACCCGAATGCACAACCTCCAACTTTGTTGAAAGCCTTCTGATAATCCAAATAAACTGCATCCTCCTCAACTCTCCTGACAGCCTTGAAGAATTCCAGTCAATCTGTCAAGCATGTTTTCCTTTCCGTACATCCGTGCTGACTCTGACTGATCTTATCATTGCATTCCAAATGTGCACCTATTAAATATTTTATAACTGTTGTAATATTCCCCACTGCCAATGGCAGGCTGACTGGTCTTAGTTTACTCTCTGCCTCCCTTTCTCTAAATAAGTGAGTTACATTAGCTACCCTCCAATCTGTAGGAACTGTACAAGTCTGAAGAGTTTTGGAAGATGACCAGCAATCCATTTGGTATTTCTAGGGCCACTTCCTTAAGTACACTGGGATGTAGATTCTCATGCCCTGTATTTGCCCTCAATCCCATCAATTTCCCCAAAGCTATTTTCCTACTCTTACTGAATTCCTCTAGTTCTTCCCCTTCACTAAGCCCTTTGTTTCATACTTCTGGTCTGTTATTTGTGTCCTGTTTGTGAACACAGACCAAAATAGATCACAGATCATAGAATGCCTACTGTGTGGAAACGGGCTCTTCGGCCCAACAAGTCCACACTGACCCTCAGAGCATCCCACCCAGACCAATCCCTCTTCCACCCACCTAATCTACACATCACTGAACACAATGGGCAATTTAGCATGGCCAATCCGCCCAGCCTGCACATCCTTGGACTGTGGGAGGAAACCCACGCAGACACGCAGAGAATGTGCAAACTCCACACACTCAGTCGCCCGAGGGTGGAATCGAACCCGGGTCCCTGGCGCTGTGAGGCAGCAGTGCTAACCACTCAGCCACCATGCCACCCAAATAAAGGCTGACACGATCAGCAAGTGCTCATTTTGTCAAAACCCGGGATTGAACCAGGGACCTTTAGATCTTCAGTCAGTATTCAGTTGGTCAGTAATTTCTTTGTTCCAATATAACCTTACATGTCTCTGTCTGTATAATTACCTACATTTTGGATTTACCAATCACATTCTTTTCACATACCTATAGAAACTTTCACAATCAGTTTTTAGCCTACCCAAGCTTATTCTTGGACTCAATGTTCCCTTTGGGAATCAATACCTTTGTCCTCCTCTTCTGAATACTGAACTTTGACTCCTCAACTCATTTGTTTTAACAGTCAATTTGTACGCCTCTTCTTTGGATCTAATACTATACCTAATTTCCCTTGTAAGGCATGGTTTGTCCAAATTTGCCATTGTTACTTTTGTGCCGGGCAGCAATGAACAATTGTTGCACTTCACTTGTGCCCTTTGAATGTTTGACATTGCCTTTGCACCACCGTCTGTTTAAGTAGTCACCTCATATCATCGTAATTTCCTCTATTTATATTGAGGACCCCAGTCTCAGAATCAACTCTCGATCATGTCATAGTGGCTCATCCCAACAGGGCCTCGCACAACCAGTTTGCCAATTATTTCCTTCTCATTACATTGTACTAAGTCTAGGATAGTCTCTTTACTAGGTATCTTCTCAATCTATTGGTCCAAAAAAACCATCCATTAAAGACTGCAAGAATTCCTTCACTATGGTATTGTTACTAATTTGATTTGCTCAATCGAAATGCAGATTAAAGACACTGATAATTACATATGTTACTTTATTGCATGTCATTCCCAACATTAGCAGTCCATAAACAACCGCCATATTATAAACACCTTGCAATTATCTAAATTAAACTCCATCTGCCACTCTTCAGCCCATTGACCCAATTGACTTTCTTCAATGTCCACTATACCATTAATTTTGGTGTTATCCGCAAAGTTACTAACCATGCCTTCTATATTCACATCTAAATCATTTGTATAAATGACAGGCAAAAGTGGACCCAGCGCTGATCCCTGTGGAATACCGCAGATTGCAGTCCGAAAAACAACCCTCCATCATGCTCTGTTCTTGACTTGAATTCTCCTTTATCTGACTCCTTAGTTCCCATTCTCCTGCCATTTTAGTTTAAAGCCTCCCAACCATTTGCTATTATTCCTCACATCGGTCCCCATTCTGCCCAGATGTAAACCGTCCAGTTTGTACTGGTTCACATCCCCCAGAACCGGTCCTCATGCCTCAGGAATCTGAAACGATCCCCCGCAGAATTATCTTTTCAATCGCATGTTCATCTGCTATATCCTGTTATTTCTACATTGACTAATACTTGACACTGGTAGTAATCCTGAGATCACTACCTTGGAGACCCTAATTTTTCCTATATTTGTTCCTAACACCCACTTCTCTGCTTTTAGGACCTTGTCCTTTTGTTTATTTGTAACTTAAACCTTGTATATCAAGACCACTCTTCACTCTGCCCCTTCAGAATGTTCTGCAGCTGCTCCGAGACATCTTTGATATAAGCATCAGGGAGGCAACATACCAAAAACAAAAACAGAAATTGCTGGAAAAACTCAGCAAATCTGGCAGCATTTGTGGAGAGAAAACAGTTAACATTTCAGGTTCAGTGATCCTTCTTCAGTTAAGAGGCAACATACTGTCCAGGGGTCTCATTTGCAGGCAAAGAAACCTCTGTCTGTTCTTTTTACAATTGAATCCCATATAAGTATTGCATTCCCACACTTGTTACTCCTCCCCTGTGCAGCAGAGCCAACCATGAATTTTAGTGTTGTTCCTTTCCCCTGAGAGGCCATTCCTGTCAACAGTATCCAAAGTGGTATATCTCTTTTGCAGGGGAATAGCCATGAGATTTGTGCACTGCCTGCCTGGTTCTCCTCCTCAACCTGGTGGCTACCCATTCCCTTCCTGGCCGTGGAGTCTGAGCCTGTGGTATGACACCACCACCACACTCCTCAAATACGTGCTATCCATGATACTTGCTGCCTCGCAGATGCTCCATAGGGTCCCTGGCTGTAAAACCTGGGCTTCTGGAGATCCTTCCTGCACGCATGCTGGCCGTGGGGGCTTGAACTGTGCTTGACTTGGCACATAGAGCAAGAAGAGCACATCACAGCTTTCAGTGCTCCTGCCACGATTTACCCCTTTAAATTAAATGATTAAACTTTCAAAGACTAAGCCATTCAAGACTGAGGTGAGGAGGCATTTCTTCATTCAGAGTTGTGAACCTGTGGAATTCTCTATGACAGAAAGCTGTTGGGGCCAGTTTGTTAGATATATTCAAGAGGGAGCTGGATGTGGCCCTTGTGGCTAAAGATATCAAAGGGTATGGAGAGATAGCAGGAGTGGAATACTGAAATTGCAAGATCTGTCATGATTATACTGAATGACGTGCAGGCTCGAAGAGCTGAATGGCCTGTGCCTACACCTATTTTCCATGTTTTGGAAGATGCATTATTTTAAATGCTCAAGTGCCCTTATTCTGTGGTTAACTTTACTATAGTATGTTATCCTTACCAACTACAAAAGGACAAAAACGCAAAAAGTACCTCTTCCCCTCTACACTGAATTCCCACTGTTTCATTTTCCTAGAAAATCACGCGCTGTGACTGCTCCTGGCTCAGAATGTGCTCTGTCCTGACTGCTCATGTGGAACTTGTTAATAGAGATGCAGGAACATCAGAGTAGTGTTCTACCTGTATTTTTGGCAATGTATAAATACAGCAAGAAATACCTCGACTATGTTGGGCAAGAACTGTCCAGAAAGTTGCAGCCAAGATCTTTCTTAACTTGGTCTTTTTTGAACAGTTCAACTTGGTTTGCTTTTTGAAAGTTAAATTTCAGTGTCAGAAAAATCTTATTCTGGATGACGACATGTTCCTGCATCTCAAAATTGTTTCCTCTGATGCAATAGAACAGCATTAGATGAGGTTTATTTTCAAGTCAGAACACATTACTGGAGAAACTGAGCAGATCTTGGCAGCAGCTGTGGAGAGAGAAAGATTTAATGTTTTGGGTCTAACATCACTTGAATAAATCTGAAAGGAGCTGCGAAATGGCGGTTTCCATGCTTGTGATTGAGTGGTTGATTCTAAGTGGGACAGACGGTGACAGTGCCCAGAGCAAGAGCAAAAGCCAAAGTGGGTGCCAGTGGTGGTGAAGGAGCAGTATAGATGTGAACTAGTATAGGTGACAGGTGTGAAAAGGAGAAAATTAATCCACTGGGGGTGGGGTGTTGGGGGGGATGCCCTAGTGGTATTATTGCCGGACTATTAATCCAGTAACTCAGCTAATGTTTCTGGGGACCTGGATTTGAATCCTGCCATGGCAGATGATGGAATTTGAATTTAGTAAAAAAAAAAAAAATCAGGAATTAAGAATCTACTGATGACCATTAAACCATTGTTGGAGAAACCCATCTGGTTCACTAATGTCCTTCAGGAAAAGAAATCTGCTGTCCTCACCTGGTTTGGCCTACATGTGACTCCAGACCCACACAACGTGGTTGCCTCTCAGTTGCCCTCTGAAATGGCCTAACAAGCCATTCAGTTGTACCAATTGCTACAAAGTCTGTTCAGTGGCAACTAAGGACTGGCAAAATATGCTGGCCGGCCAATAACAACCACATCCCACAAATGAATTTTAAAAAATTCGGAGAGCAAAGTCAACAAGGCACAAACTAAACACAGCAGGAGTGTTGTAATCAAAATGAAGGAAGGTGATTGTGCTGTGCAGTTGAACTCCATCTTGAGCCCCAAAGTCTGCAAAGTGATGAAGTTTAAAAAAAAATCAAGTGTTGTTTGTCCAGCTTGCATTGAACTTCATTGGAACACTTTTAGGTAAGTGGGGTTATCCAGTAAAGATTTTTTCTTGCAAGTGTCCTTAGGAACACAGAGATAAGTCTGTATAAATCTGTTCAGCCCAGGGAGAGCTTTGAGGCTTCATCAATCATGCCTATTTGTTGTTCTTCCCACTAGCATGTACTTCAGCTTTCAATTGGTTTATTTTTCCTATTTGTTTTGACAATCTATCTTGTTATGACTAATTATTCTCCATTCCCTTTCAGGAATTTAATCTGATTGACAGGAAAGAGCTTGCTCCACTCCAAGATCTAATTGAAAAACTTGGATCAAAGGACAGATGAGTGTTCTTTAAAGGATTGGAACCATTTTTTCCACATCAGCGTGATCTTAGTGCTTCTCTTTTTCTACCTTCAAGATCCCCATTTCCTGCACATACACAGTATGATGTGTGATCATTGTGAGCATGCTCTGTGGAAAAATCCATTGTCTCTGTAATTGTTAAATAGTACTTCAATATTTAGGATGAATAACCTTTGGATAAACAAGTCAATAAGCTGTTGGTTCTAGCCAGATGTCAGTGTTCTGAAGAACATGACATGTTGAAAAGTTCTAGACGATCATATTAAGGATGTTGCAATATTGATTTTGTTTTTCTCTAGGTATGACTAGCAGACTTAGCAAAATGTGTTGGTTAAAGCATGCTCAAGACATTTAGGGAGGAGAAAACTATTGCTGTGTTAGTTTGATACTTTAGGATTCTTGATGGATGGATTTGTAGTCTGGATTCCTGGTTTCTGCATGCTCCATCTTCTTGTGCTTTTTATTTGAGGGAACATGGAAAACTCTGATTTTTGTCCTCAAATTGAAAGCAAACTGGAACTTGTGCAGGTTGAATGTATGTTTTAAATGGGTTGATTTGCAGTGTGACTGCAGGTTGTTCGTGCTGCAAATAGACCAATTAATTGTAGACTAGTTAATTGTACACAGTCTCTAAATGTACTTCTTGAATTTAAAAGATAGGGGAAAATTTTTTGAACTTTGCATACACATACATTTATACGCTGATCTCTAACAGATTTGATGGTGTTTTGATTGACTCAGTGAGGCATGTTTGTCCATGTCTTAGGCTGACAGTACAGCGATTTGAAAAACAGTTACTGAAAGCCTGAATTTTTCAAAATTTTTATTCAGAATTACTCAACTACTTAAACTTCAGTTAATTTCCTCACATGAGTAATTGGTTTTAAATTGAAGACACGTGTTCAAATGGTTTTGCTTGAGGAATGTCAAAGTAGCACAGTGACATATTGCAGAAGAAAAAGTACCACTACTTGGTTTTCTCTTAACCCCTAAAAATTCCCTATGAAATACATGTACCAAGCAGTCAACATACTGTCTGTAACCAGCTGACGATTGTACGAATTTACTGTTGTCATTTAAAGCTCTCCTGTTGTTTGGTTTCTGACAACACATTTTCTGAACCACTTTTTGTGATTTCTAAATTGCCACTCAGTTTGACTCTCTTGTGACTGTAATTTTGGATTATAACACAGAGCATGTACGATTGCATATTGTGAAAACTGTGTTGCCTTTATTTCTTATGTTATTAGATGCACTTTGGGGACTGTGCCCAGTTGCCTTAACTAGACTACTTTTTCAAAACTTGGTCAGTCATGCTTTAATATTGAATATTTTTTTTAATGTTTTTACACACAAGGTGAATAAGAAACTTTGCAGCAGGATGTAACTTTTTAACCTGTGATTGCATTATAGCAATAGTCACGGGAAAAGGGGGTCTTTTTTAAAAAAAAAAATCTAGCAATAATGTGCTTTAAGTATATGGCAATTTTGTTTTTATATATTTTAAATATCATTGTCCAAATATGGGCGACTACTGAAAATAACCACCTGCCAGATCTAAGCATTTTAAATTGTATTTTGCTGCGATCCAAGCTCTGGAATAGTTTCCCTGTTTAATGGTCGAGAAGAATTGAACAGTCTTGGCATTTCAGTCACTTGCATTCTTCTTATCAAATGTTGCTGTTAGTTCTTTTCTGTTGAGCACAATAAAAAGGTTGAGGAAGTTTACGATTGAATTTAAAGTTTGAAGTACAAGTTGAGTGAAAGTTTTTATTCGTGTTCGGACCTTCTCAATTTCAAAAACCAAAAAGAATACCAGTTTTTCAACCATAATGCATCCAATGAACTGTGGCCGTTATGCATTCTCTTGTACAGAAGCTTCCTTTGTCTTCATTTGGTTATTATCATTGTAACCATGTTCTCCACATGGTAATTTCATATCATGTAGGATTGAGAAATGGAAATTAAAATGTCCATTATGCAACTGTAGAGGCTTACTGCAACAGTTCAGAACGAAATTTGGAAACAAATTTAAGGGTGGGAGAATTCATCTTGTCTCAATGATTCAAAATCAATAATGATTCCTCATGAATGAACATTAATCAAGAAGAATTGTCTTTCTGGTCAATGAGCTAAAATTAGACACAAGGTTGAAGAACACTTTTATAATGTGAATCCTGACTTCCAAGTGAGGGTACAATACGTTTTTCATGACTTTAAACACTGGATTGCAAATCTTGACTTTTCTTTCTAACATAAATCTAGGATTGAATAATTACCACTTCTGAATTTTGGTACAGTGTAATTTCCAAGGTGTGTGCATATGTGGCAGGGACAGGGTAATTAGGGAAGGAAGTAATGCACAACTTTTTGACTGCAGTTGCACTTAGAATGTTTCAAACAATGCTTTATGCAGCACCAATTTAAGCTGTAAAGCAGTAAATTCAACATCTGTCCCTCTTGACAGTTCATGAACCGAACTGAATCAGCATTTAATGCTTTGGAATATGTACATTCTGGAAGTTTTCATAATGTACACAATATGCAAGGAAAGCATATTTGTAAAGTATGAGCATCACACTTGAAAGACTGTTGATACCAGTTGTCTTTTGTTGGATGGTGCCCAAGTACAGTTTTTCTTGGATTCATGTCTGAAAAGATCATTATGGTTGATATAATATTGTCAGCTTGTACAGTGCTGTTCTTGTAATAGTAGACCTCTGTGCTTTTAAGCAACAGGGCAGAATTAGAGTTGCTTAACATCTCAAATCCTCTAAATTGAGATGATTAGGGACTGTGAAGTAGAATACAGCAATCACAACCCAATTCATAAGGTAGCATGTTTTGATTCTCCTTGTAGGAAAAGCTGGTGGTATACAGATATGAATCTAAACACTGTTCCAATCCAGCTTTAGGAATATCAGCAGTTTGGCGTGTCCAAAGCGTCATGGCAATAGTGGTGATCGTTAGTTACAAACATACATTTGTTTTCTCTATCAGCCTAGTAAAGTAATGTTCTTGAATTTAAGTTGTTGATACATAGCTTGGGTGGTTTAAATTGAGCCAAATAAGGTGCGCTCTGGATTATTTCGTCTTGGAGATGAGGTGACTTAAATTTAGTGTCAGGTCAAATTTTCACTGGGAGGGTAGTCAGGATCAGGTGGAACTTGAAGACTGGAATTCAAAACATGGTACATTAAATGATTTTGTACAGCATTTGAACTGGAACATGATGCAATCACAGCAGTGATCACTAAATGGAACTACGGAATCAATTGGTATTTTAAGGTTTGAGAAGAACTTTTCAAAGTAGTGCCTATGGGGAAAACTATGAGGAAAAGTTGGAGGGCCGTAAGATTTTTGTCAGTCTTTTCAGACCCTGGCCAATGCCCAGATTCTCACTTCTTGAAATCAATAATTTGTCACTGGCAATTTTTTCCCCAGTTTGAGCAATCTTTTGTTTCATCGTAATTTTGTTTATTTTCTAAGTGCATATTTACAGGGAATCTAAATTACATTGCAAATAAAATGATTAAAACCACTTGTTTTTACTCACTTTGAAATAAGTATTGTAATTATTTTGCCCTCCCAATTAAAACTAACTAAGCTAGCTTTTGACAACAGTCATAGAATTTTGCCTATAAGAATATGATCTGTCATTTTAGTTGCCCCCTTTTGTGCACAGTAGTTGTTAGCAGGTTAGGTAACTGTTGGACTGGCTTTCCCAAAGGGTGGCAATCTCACACAATTGCCACTCCATCATTGCATTTTTCTGAAGGCAGTTTGATTTGCATTTCTGACAAGAGATTACAATCAGAGTTTCATTTTGAAAATGCAGAATTGTTCACGGAAGACAAATCATTCACCTGCTGCCATATTCTGAAATATAATGGTCCAGATAGCTACTCAACAAGTGCTTTCAAATGAGCTAAGTGTGATGTCAGGGTACAAGCTGGTAATGAAGCCAGCTCAGTAATGGAGTGTTTAAGGGAGGAGAAATCTGGTCTGGATGCGTGTCTGGTTTGGCATAAACAAAAGTGGTGTTGGGCAGAGCTAAAAGCTAGAGTGGGATAGGAGCAGCATTGTTGGGTCTAGTGGTGAGACAAGGGCTGAGTGGGTCTCCAAAATGGGGTCTGGGGTGGAGAGTGGTTGGGGACAGGGAGTGCATTTAGTTGGATGGGTCAACTGTTAGATTGAAGGGGTGCAGGGAGTGGACTGGGTATTGGAGGAGTGGGTACGAGGTGGTGATTGAAGGGATGTGACGGGTGCTAGGAAAGACAGCCACGTTTCAAGTGGATGGAGAGAGAGGAGGAGGAGGGGCCATTGCATTGCATTGCATTGCAGGGTGGGGCGAGGGTGCTGAGACCGTGTTTGTAGCGGATGTCTGCGGAAGGGATGACCCTGGTGTGGGAGACGAGAAAGGGCTGTCATGTGCAGGGGATAAGGGTGAGCAGCGTGTTAGTGTGTTGAGTAGGACAACCGGATCCGGCGTTGGTGGGGGGTGGGGGCAACTCAAAATACTGTTTCAACTTGGCACTGTTTTCTGTCAGTTAGAATTTTCTATTCAGGTTGCTACTGTCATTTTTCCATAATGTACAACCTGTTCTCAAGTCTGTTATATAGTACAGTTCCAACATTTTTTGACGTTGATGAATATCACATGAAGCCTTGCTCTCATAAACAACTGGAGACTTCTTTTGATAAAAACTCAGTTTGTGTGACAGAGTTTTCCCTGAATATATTGATGCTGATTTTTTTTTTAAAATTCAATCCCAAATCATTGTTTCAAGAAATTTCTTTATGCCAAAGTTGAGCTGACAGGTCTAATTGCTGGGTTTAACTTAATGCCCTTGTTCCAGAAATATTGCAATGTTTTTAACTGTCCTGTCTTCCGTGGCCAGCGCAATGTGGGGAAGATTGAAATATAATCCTCATTTCAAATACCCATTCCTTTATTTCTGTATGTGTTTCAACTGGTCCTGTGCCTAATAATATGTCTCATGCATAGTGTCAGTGCCTCTGGCGCTAAATTTCTGTCTTGGGCTAGGTGAGTACGTGTCGTTTAGGTCTATTAAGTGCCTTTTCCCCCTAGAAATTTCTTTTATGATCTCAACAATTGGCCAGTTTATTGAAACAATGGAGAAATTGCAAAAAAACCTATCTCTACAAAGACTGAAATGAAAATGATAGCGAGTTTCTCTGTGACCTGTGACCCCATGTGTCACTGAGCTTCCAAAGCACATGAAGTAAACTCGCACAAACTCTTACAATTATCTTTAATTTCATAATAGATCATTTCTTCCCTGTTGACTAGGCTGAGGATCTGTCTTTTGCATTTTAGCTGATTCAAACTTGTCCCGAACTTGAGAGTATCAACTAAACATTTGTTAATAGAAGCTGTACCAACGATTAATATCTTGCACTCCTCGGTTAACTAAAAGACAATGCGGTGGAAGGGTTCGGACCCTTTACTATCACCCATTTCTCTATTTTGAAACCCAAATTCCACGGTTCCTACCTCTCAATATATGGAAACATAGATATACAAAGAGGTGGCTCACAATCTTATCGCCCTTTCCAGAGACAGTGTCTGTCGTTTTTTTTTGCTGGCTTTAATAGCGTTTTCGACTTTCATGAGTCACTAGACTGCAGTTGCTATACATGTACTGTCTATGATCTCAGCGTAGGCATTCCAGGCTTTTGCTTGAGCTACGCTGAGTGAAAGGTACTATATTTCGTAGTCTGGATCAGCTGTAGCTTCAAGAGGAACTTGCTGCAATAAATGCGCTGACGTTTTTGGAGTGCTGTGGTCGCATTTTTGATGAACTGGTGCAGTGCATCACGTGGATGGTGCGCATCAACTGTGACTGAGCGCTGCTGGTGGAAGGAGTATGTGTTTGTATATAGCTTACAACTAGGCAACTGTTTTTGTCCTGCGTGCTGTCAAAGCGCACCCTATGTGGGGAATATACCATCACACTCGCGACATGTGTCTTAAGCATGGGGCTAAAAGGTTTTGCATAAAATTTGTACGCCGGAGTTAAGCTTTGAGTGTGTGGCATTTATAAGCCGTGAACAGTGCGTGGTGTAGCGCGGGACGAAGTCGAAGTTAATGCTAGGCGGCGAGAATGCGTGGGTACGGCCGGCTGAGTGCTGGCGACGCAGCTGCAGCCTGCGCACGGGCGCGGCGCGTGAGCGCGAGCCTTCTGACTTTGCATAACGGCCACGGGTAGGCGTCCCGCTGGTCGCGTGCGTGGGCGGTTTTTTTTTTCAAAACGCTCGTGCGCCGCCGCCCAACGGTCAGATCTGCACTGACGCGAAAATAAAACCCAAATCTGCCCACCCCCAAGGAAAATAAATTAAGGTACGGCGATTTAAGTATTTTGTTTTGTTGACTTTGGGGGAACGCGTCGAAAAAGGTGACGTACGTTATGTGGCTTTACCTGTTCGCAAACACGTGCAACTCTTGTCAAGGCTCGAGCGTCTGTTGAAAAGGCACCGTCTTTCGCTTTTGCTCTTGAAATAATGGATGACTTAGTCATGGCCACGCCTGATATATGTTTCAGTATGTCGAATTTTGAACTGAAATACTTAATAGCACAGACCACACTCTCCTTACTTCAGCATTGAGTGTGTTTCTCACCCCTCATCAGTAGGTTCGACAAAAGTTGAATATGATTTAATTACTAGTCAGCACTCTTGGCATGAGGAAGGCAGGTAAGCGATTGGCACTCACCGCCGGACAAACTATATCGAAGTTGGTCGGTGTCTCCTTACTCATTTCGGTGCTGTGGGCATGTTGGACGTTTTAAGATCGCGGCGTTCTCCTCCCGGCCTGACCAGCATTATCTATCAAATAAAAATAAACCCAAAATCCGTTTAATTGGTCGTTCTTTCTTCTGTTGGATGTTGGGATGGACGTGTACATGAAATGACTCATTCGCCCAAGCAGCAGCAAGAACTGCCAGTCATTTTTCGAATGTTTAATTGTAATTTTCTCTTAGGTTGAGTAATGCGTGCATTTGTTATTATTAACTTATTTTACTCACCACCCCTCCCAGTGCAGGGGTAGGGACACCATGACTGCACCACAAGAAGTCCCCGTGCATTTCTTTCTCAACCAGCGTTGATCAGAGACGGCTGTAGGACAGTACCGATGCATATTCCAAAGGTGCGATCAGTGTGAGAAACATTCCGTATAAGCCAAATGATTTGGATGAAAGAAGAATTCCGGGCATGCCCTACAAAGGACAGTTGCTGCTGCTGGGGTAAAAAGAAGGCAGAGGCAAATGCACTGTGACTCCCTCCTGAAGAGCTGTTGAACTGTAGGAGGAAGAAAGTGCAAGAAATGGAGCAAAATTGTTTTACGCATTTCAACACTATTATTTTAGAACAGGCAAAACACTTCTTAACTGTTTTCTGCTCCTTCGCAGGGTGTCATTTTTCATGACGAGGAAATCGTTTTTATGATACAGTTGTATCTACCCTACACTCTTGCCGTTCTAGCCTAAAATGGTATGTATATATTGCGAAATCTGAAAAAAAAATTATCATTGATCCGTAGGATGGTGGTGTTGCTGGCTAATCCTGCATTTATGGCCTGTTCCTAATTGCTGGTGGGGTAGCTACAGCCACAGTGCTGTTTGGCAGTTCTAGGTTTTTGACGCAGTGCAGGAATGGCTACAAAGTTCAAGTCACGCTGTTGTGTGGCTTGAAAGGAAACCTGCAGGTCGTGGTGGTAGTGCTCCCCTTTTTCTGTTGCCCTTGTCCTTTTGAAGTGGTAGAAGTTGGTTGCCAGATTGAAAGTTGCTGTCGAAGGCGCCTGGGTCAGATGCTGCAGTGTATCTTGGAGATTGTGCTGTGGAGTTTTAAGATGCTATTATTATTTGGAAACTTGGTTTATAAAATAGGGATCCTTGGTTTGTGATAATTTTGTTCTATGAAAGTGATCTTTAACAGCATTTCTAAATAAAAAGCTGACTTTTCTTTTGATCCAGAACTGCTCTTACACTCAACTGAACACTTTTTTTCATCACCAATCATCTGGCATCGAACACGGCACCGGAAAAGACAGTGGCAGAAACAGCCGTGTTGACCCTGCAAAGTCCTCCTCACTAACATCTGGGGGTTAGTGCCAAAATTGGGGGAGCTGTCTCACAGACTAGGCAAAAAACAGCCTGACAAAGTCATACTCACAGAATCATACCTTATAGACAATGTCCCAGACACCGCCATCACCATCCGTGGATATGTTCTGTCTTACTGGCTGGACAGACCCAGCAGAGGGGCGGCACAGTGGTATATAGTCGAGAGGGTGTTGCTCTGGGAGTCCTCAACATTGACTCCGGACCCCATGAAGTCTCATGGCTTCAAGTTAAACATGGGCAAGGAAATCTCCTGCTGATTAATCAGTATTCCTCAATGTTGAACAACACCTAGAAGAAGCACTGAGGATGGCAAGGGCACAAAATGTACTCTGGGTGGGGGATTTCAATGTCCACCACCAAGAGTGGCTCAGCAGCAGTACTACAGATCAAGCCGTTCGGGTCCTAAAGGATATAGCTGCTAGACTGGGTCTGCGGCAGGTGGTGAGGGAACCAACAAGAGGGAAAAACATACCTGACCTCATCCTCACTAATCTGCCATGTGCAGTTGCATCTGTCTATGACAGTATCAGTAAGAGTGACCATTGCACAGCCTTTGTGGAGATGAAGTCCCGCCTTCACATTGAGAACAACCTCCATCGTGTTGTGTGGCACTATCACCGTGCTAAATGGGACAGACTTCGCACAGATCTAGCAACGCAAGGATGGACATCCATGAGACGCTGTGGGCCATCAACAGCAACAGAATTGTACTCCAACACAATCTGTAGTCTCGTGGCCCAGCATATTCCCCACTCAACCATTACCATCAAGCCAGGGGATCAACACTGGTTCAATGGAGAGTGCAGGAGGGCATGCCAAGAGCAGCATCAGGCATACCTGAAGATGAAGTATCAACCTGGTGAAGCCACCAAACAGAACTACTTGCACGCCAAACAGCGAAAGCAGCAAGTGATAGACAGAGCTAAGCGATCCCACAACCAACGGATCAGATCTAAGCTCTGCAGTCCTGCCACATCGAGTCGTGAATGGTGGTGGACAATTAAACAGCTCACTGGAGGAGGAGGCTACACAAATATCCCCATCCTCAATGATGGAAGAGCCTAGCACATCAGTGCAAAAGATAAGGGTGAAGCATTCGCCAGAATCTTCTGCCAGAAGTGCCGAGTGGATGATCCATCTCGGCCTCCTCCAGTGGTCGCCAGCATTACAGATAACAGGCTTCAGCCAATTCAATTCACTCCATGTGATATCAAGAAACGGTTGGAGACACTGGATGCTGCAAAGGCTGCCGGTCCTGACAACAGTCCGACAATAGTGCTGAAGATTTGTGCTCCAGAACTTGCCGCTCCCTTAGCCAAGCAGTTCCAGTATAGTTACAACACAGGTATCTACCCGACAATGTGGAAAATTGTCCAAGTGCATCCTGTGTATAAAAAGCAGGACCAATCCAACCCGGCCAGTTACCGCCCCATCAGTCTCCTCTTGGTCATCAGTAACGTGATGGAACATGTCATCAACAGTGCTATCAAGCAGCACCTGCTCAGAAATAACCTGCTCAGTGAAGCCCAGTTTGGGTTCCACCAGGGCCACTCAGCTTCTGACCTCATTACAGCCTTGGTTCAAACATGGACAAAAGAGCTGAATTCCAGAGGTGAGATGAGAGTGACAGCCCTTAATATCAAGGCTGCATTCGACTGAGTGTGGCATCAAGGAGCCCTAGCTAAACTGGAATCAATGGGTATCAAGGGGCAAACTCTTTGCTGGTTGGAGTCCTGACACATAGGAAGATGGTCGTGGTTGTAGGTGGTCAATCATCTCGGCTCCAGGACATCTCTGCAGGAGTTCCTCAGAGTAGTGTCCTAGGTCCAACCATCTTCAGCTGCTTCATCCATGACCTTCCCTCCATCATAAGGTCAGAGATGGGGATGTTCGCCGATGATTGCCAAATGTTAGCAGCATTCGTGACTGCTCAGATACTGAAGCTGTCCATGTTCACTTGCAACAAGATCTGGACGATATCCAGGCTTGGGCTGACAAGTGGCAAGTGACATTCATGCCACACAAATGCCAGGCTATGACCATCACCAATAAGAGACTATCAAACCACTACCCATTGACATTCAATGGTGTTACCATCACTGAATCCCCCACTATTAACATCCTGGGGGTTACCGTTGACCAGAAACTCGACTGGACTCACCACATTAACAGAGTGGCTGCAAGAGCAGGCCAGAAGCTGGGAATACTGCGGCGAGTAACTCATCTCCTGACTCCTCAAAGGCTGGCCACCATCTACAAGGCACAAGTTAGGAGTGTGATGGAATACTCCCCACCTGCCTGGATGAGTGCAGCCCCAACAACACTCAAGAAGCTTAACACCATCCAGGACAAAGCAGCCGGCTTGATTGGCACTACATCCACAAGCATTCATTCCCTCCATTACTGACGCTCAGTAGCAGCAGTGTGTACTATCTGCAAAATGTGCTGCAGAAATTCACCAAAGATCCTCAGACAGCACCTTCCTAACCCACGACCACTTCCATCTCGAAGGACAAGGGCAGCAGATATATAGGAACACCACCAACTCCAAGTTCGCCTCCAAGTCACTCACCATCCTGACTTAGAAATATATCGCCGTTCCTTCACTGTCACAGGGTCAAAATCCTGGAATTCCCTCCCTAATAGCATTGTGGGTCAGCCCACAGCAGGTGGACTGCAGCGGTTCAAGAAGGCAGCTTACCACCACCTTTTCAATGGCAACTAGGGATGGGCAAGAAATGTTGGCCAGCCAGCAACGCCCACATCCCCCCCAGAAAAAAAAAGAAAACAATGGTCTTTTCATCTATCAACTACCATCAGTAAATCACCAGGCTTTTCTCATTGATTAATTTTTATGCTCAGTCTGTTAAAAGGCAGACCATCAAAGGTGAGGAACAGGTTGGGAGAGAGGAGAGCTGTGACTTTTTTTTCCCTAAGGAAACCTATGACTTAAACTGCACAAGATGCATGTTTAGATAATTGCTGAAGTGCTTCCTATTTTAAGATGCATGACCCTGAACAAGACAGCTGGAGAGCAGAGACAACAAGGTGCAGGGCTGGATGAACACAGCAGGCCGAGCAGAGAGGCTGACGTTTCGGGCCTAGACCCTTCATCAGAAATGGGGGAGGGGATACTTAAACATTTGAGCTACCTTAATCTTTCCAGGGAAATTGACTAGATTGGCCACTTCTCAGAACTACTGTTGAGCATCTCAAAGCCTTTCATGAGTCTTTCCATTACACAGTGAGAAATGTTTTTTCCTTTGGTATTCTTGTGAATTGGCCCAATGCATATAAGACAAGAGGTTTTGATAAAATGAGCCTTCTTCAACAATATATAACTTATTTCCTCTTTATTTCTGTAAGAAACTTGCCATTTTTGTTAAAATTGCATAGACAACCTCTTATGAATATGTTCAATGGTAGACCACCATGGTAACCAAATTGTAATAATAAAACTGTGCTATCGGAGCTGTCATATTTAAAATTCTGTGGCACAATTGGAGCAGGGAAAATCTTCGTCAACATAAACAAAGCACGAGAGAAACTCAACAGGTCTGGCAAGATCTATGGAGAGAAAAACTGTTTTTCGAGTCCAGCAACCTTCCTTCCGAACAGGTCCTCTCAATTCTCCATCTTGGCTATAACTGAACCCTGACTCGACATAATGAAAGCATGATTTAACTAATTGCTGTTTCTGTGAAAATTGTTTCTTGTGTATCCTACACTTTAAAGTACTCAAGTGCTTGTAAAGTGGTATGAGACTGTCATGACCCTGATGGGAAGAATGCACTGGTGATCAAGCATCACTATTGTTTCATTAATTTGTCTCCGACGTATAAATGATCATTAGAATCAGAGATGATTAATTTGTCTGACTTTGATAGTTAGCTAGGAATAAAACTCAGACCAGGTTTCAGTAGTAAATAGAAACAATTTTTACCAACTGATCCTGTGACAATGAGCCGAATAGATTATTACTTACTCATAAACAAACGTAAACTATTCCGTTTAAACTCAATCACACATTCCTTCAAAAAGAGAGTAGATGAAACAGCTGTCCTGAAATATAGTGGATGGAAAAACAGCCGAAAACCAACGAATTCTGCAGACCAACAGTTCACACTGTCAGGGTGGAATGAGGTGACTCTCATGTTTGTAGCAATGGTAGCATGTTGTCAACTGCCAAACCATAGAAGATGCTCAATTGGTCATTTGGACCTCAGTCTTTGCTTGACTTTAGAAGTTCTTAATTTCCAATCCTTGGAGTATTCCTTTCCTTCATTCTGCTCATTTTCTTCTCCTTCTATCTACTCTCTTCTTCCATCCCTACACGTATTGTTGAATTCAGTAGGGAATTGAGTTTCCGTGGCATTTGTGCACAGTACCTTCCTGAGTTCTTTCAAAAGATCTAAATGCACTCTTTTGAAGAACAGCTACTAAATTCTTTCAAGAGATAACACGGTGTAGAGCTGAATGA